TCCGGTTCACCCCCAACCTTAAATGCAACCCTGACAGCCCCGCTGAAGTTGCCTGAAAGCAGCAGCAAAGAAATGAGCACTTTGCATTTAATCTCAGCAACAAAGCAGCGATTGTTTTGCTGCTTTGGCGATGTGCACTGAGGACACCCTGGGGGTTTGAAAATGACCCCCTGAAGCTGCCCATCCTACTCTGACTGCCGCACTGGGGATTGCAGGCATCTCAAGGAACAACTTCTCCTATATAATGACAACCATCAAAGAGTTAACACCTTGATATGAGGATCTGTTCCGGGCTCCATCTTTCCCTCCCTACCTCTGTAAGATAGTCATCATTACTGATATATTTTTATCCCACCTTCCATCCAGATGGTAAACAGCACTCCCACTGTGAGGTAGGTTAGACTGGCAGTTTATGATGAGCCAGGAAACTAATTCTCAACCTAGCCTACTCCAACCTCTAGATATATTGGACTGCAGCCTCCATCATCCCCAGCCAGCACAGCAACTGGCCTTGGCCTCATTTTGTAGACAGATTTCACAGGCATTTTGGGATCACTGCAGATTTTCACGGAGGGGATTTTACAAGTTTGTTTGCATTGTTTTTATTTTGAACTGCTACTTTTTACTTGTTCTTAAAGTTGCTATAAAACATTAACTTTTCGGTCAAAGTGTATAAATATTGTATACAAGCAAACTGTCATTCCACCTCCTCAATATGAACCTCTATTTTAAAAAATGTGCATGAACCGTGCATTCTTGAATCAACTAGGACATGTTAATAGTGGTACTCTTAATCAGTGCATATCAAAAGCATAAAACTTCCCGGATTTACATTTCTGAAGGCATTCAAAGGAAAAATAGAATCATTTCCACCTGTGTAATTCCTTTACTGGTAATATTAGTTGATCGTGTATTCGGCCTTAGCACTGATGGCCTTGGAACCCTGATGCTTTGGTTATACCATGTGTGGGGAATTTGGTTGTGGATGGTTTGCAGGTGGTACAATGGCAACCTCATTTATCCAAACCCAGGAAATTAATGCTACATCTGTAAGTCATTACAGAACTAACACATGCTAGATTTAATTCTGTAATAATTCTAAAATCAACAAATTTACTTTCTGAGAGCCTACCACAGTTTCTAAGACCTTAAGTGTTCCTCCCAGAACATAACTCTAGTTTCGATACGCTGTGCTTTCCTCCTTAGTTGTACCAAATGCTGGTAACCCTTGTAGATTCTTACTTGCTGTTGCCAATCCTAAAAGTCGGTTGCAACTTGCTTCAAATTGTGATGCCCTGCAGATGTTCTGGGGTAAAATTCCAGCCGTTCTTGACCATTGGCCTTGCTGGCTGAAGCTGATAGCAACTGATGTCCAAAACATTTGGTGGAGACCAAGAAAAAGCAAAGCAGATCTAAAGCTTACTACCAGGCGATCTATGCTACTGCTGTAGAAAACGGCTGACGCTTGTTCCAAACGATTTCAGCCCACACTTAGAACAGAATTAGAATCATACAACGACAGAGTTGCAGGAATCTTGGAAATCACCTGGCACCACAGGATACAGAGACAGCATTTCTGGCAGATGCTACCTATCCTCTTCTTTCAAAGGGGTGCTCAAAGATAGGCTGGACATGCACATGGCAGGCATGTCGTGAGCAGAGCCAGCTGGAGCCGGGGGTCAGACTAGATGGCCTGGGAGGCCCCTTCTGAGTTGCTCTGTTTCTTTACTGCCTCTGGTGAAAGGAGAACCTGAGGCAGCCTGCCCGGTGCTGAACAGCTCTCACCACTAGGCAGCCTCTCCTCATACCGAGTCAAAATGTGCTTCCCTGTTATTTCTACCTGTTGGCCACCACGTCCACTTGCTGGAACATCAAGTGGTTTATTCACAAGTGCAAAGCTGCCACCACAGATCAAGTGCCACAAGAAAGAACTCTCATGTCGCATCATCCCACAAATACTACTTGTCAATGAAAGTAGCTCACTGCAACTGCATTCATGGAGTATTAAGTAGCAAGAGATCGTGGTAGCATTGATTAAATCCATTGTGTTGGACCACTGACTCAAATGCAAAGCTAGGATCCAGTCTACAAGGACTACCCATAGACAACAGCCCCCTTCCTCAAGAGTTGCTAACTAGCACAGTAAAATGGCGATTAAAGGCAGAATCCTAAGTACATTTAGACAGAAAAAGTCCTGAAACTCCCAGGATTCCTCAACCACCAGTGTTGGCTTGGGAATGTTGGGGTTTTTAGACCTTCAATGTCTAAAGATGTGCACGGATTGCACTCTAAGGGAAGGGCAGGCAAATCACATGTTTCCAGCCTCTTCTGACATTAATCCACAGGCAGGTGACTAAATATTAGCACTGCCTGCCATAAACCTACACATGCAGCAACAGGGAAGAGAAAACAATACACCCTAAAAGAGGACAAAAACCAGGCAAGACAAGCTCTGCAGGACCAACCAAACCAGCCAAACTTCTGTTGCGTGCGCTCTGCTCTGTGAGATCCCTGTTCATTTAAACTTTCATGAAGTTTGACTGCTTGTATGTTCATACTTTCAAGGAACTTATTCCTATTACACACTTTCCCTCCTTCCAAGGGGACTTGGTGAAAAAGGGCATTATCACATCCCCTTGGCAATGTGCTCTACACTGTAACCCACTCCCATTTTTGCTGAGACCAACGAACAAGCAAGACAGAGCCTTTTCGGAAGTGGCACACAGATTGGTGGAATTCTTTACCTTGATTTTGTCTTGTGCTCCAGGGAAGGGCCAAAAGGTCCCGGATCAGTATCTGGCATCTCCAGACAGGACTGGGAAAAGCCCGCCTGAAACAGTGAAAAGCTGCCATCCATGTAGGCCAACCTGGTAACCCTCTCCAAAGTTGTTGGAGTACAACTCTCATCATTTCCAGCCAACAGGGATTACAGGAACTGTATCCCAAAACACCTAGAAAGAGCCAGGATGCTTACCATACAATACTGAGTTGGATGGGCCAGACTGGACAACTTCTTCCATAGATCAAAACATTGGCTTTTAGATTAGCATTTGATGCAGGCATGTGGATGTGCTGAACTCTCCTCTCTGCTTTGGTATTGCTGCAGTTTTATCTTGTTCTTGTTTCACTGATTTGGTTTCATTTGTTTAAGTATTGTTTTCATTGCCTTTAACAAAAAGTAAACAAACAAACAAAAAACTCCACATGCCAGCCATCTCCACCACAATTTTTTTTCACTCATCATACTCTGGGGCTTTCACTAATAGCTATTATATAGATAAAATAAAGACAGGCAAGTCAGCCCCTCATGTTTTGACAGCCTGGGAGAATGCCTGCCTGACCATTCCTACTTATAAGCTGCATTATTATACAACAATTCCCAGTTTCAAGTAATTTTAGGACACTCTAGTCCACGACACACTAGCAATGCCCACAAAAGTGGAAAGGACAAGAAGAGTTGAACAGCTGGCAACAGAAAGAAGACATGGTCTTCCCCACCTCCGTTCAGGCACCAGACCAATAAAATAAATTAAAAATACCAGAATGCAAGAAAGGCGGCGGAAGACAGCAGACACTGGCTGCAGACCTGTCCTTCCAAAGCAGCAGACCACAAACAGTACCAAAACAAGAGAAAGGCGCGATCCCACCCCTGGACTGAAATCCAGTGCAGAACAGGGACTCTTTTGTTGTTTAACGGGATATCAAAATACCACCCAGCTTGCAAGACTAGATGGGAACTGCATGAATATCAGAATAGTACAGATTAACAGATTTATTTCAGGCACTGCCCTGACTGCATCTTCCATACAAATATTCCGTCTGAACTCATGCTTGGGAATTCTGAAGATGTGGGGAACTAAAGGAGGCCACACATACAGAGAAGTGTTGTGCATGAACACCGCCCCCCCCACACAAACACACTCAAGCTCAGCCTTTCACCCACCACAATGACTGCTACCTTACATCCTGACTTTTCCACAGCTAAGATCATTCAGCTGTTGAGAACTGATGAAGCCTTACTCTGCACTCCATTTCATAACACCTGACTTTCCCAACCCATCCAACAGAACACTCCTGAGATGTGCTGACTACAACTCCCACTACATCCCAGCATGCTGGCTGGAGATGGTGGGAGCTGTAGTCCAACACACAGGCAGGGTAAGACTGAACTACCAGGTGTCTTTCGAAAGGCACTAGAGCTCGAGGACCGAAGTGGCCTCCGTTCCACAATTAACTTCTCTGAAGAGCACAGAAAAAAAAAAGGGGGGGGGTTCTTTCCAAGTGCTAATCCAACATTCCTGCTTGGAAAACAAACACACAGGCACATCGCAGGCCACCTCGTCCCGAGCCCCACGAACGGCATCTCTCCCGGGGAGGGGAGCGCACGGGGGACTCCAGCCGAACCTCCAGCGTCCGCAAGGGCTGACAGCTGGCCATGGCAGCAGGTGCTCTCCGCCAAGAGCCCCCAGGTGCCACCTCCCTCAGGGCAAGAGCCTGCCATGCCCAGCTGTGCCCAGGTCTCCCCGTGGTATCAGTTTCTGTTGCCATAGAGACTCGCCCCCTACTCGAGCGCACCTTCCACCCCAGAAGACCGAGCTAATAACCAAAAAATAAAAATGACACCTTTCAGAAGGAACAATAAAACATGGCAGCCTAGTGGGGGTGGGTGGATACCCCCAGAATTGTACAATTCTCTCTCGCTCCGGTCTCAGCGACCACAAGACCCTCTCAGTCGACAGAATGGACAAAACATACACACAGGAGAGAGACAGAGAGAGAGCGAGAGCGAGCGAGAGCCAGGAGTGCCCAGCAAAGCTGGCGCTGCAAAACACTGGAGAACACAGCTTAGAAAGACAGCGAGGGGGGTTAACACACACAAACACACACTCACGGCTCTCCTCCTCTGCCGGCCCCTCCAGGTGTCCCCACCCGATCTCCCTCCAGCCCTTCCTCCCGCACCCCTTCCTCCTCTGCCCCCGGATCCTTCACCCACCACCAACCTGCGAGGCGCTGCGGAGGTGCCTGCCCGGCAGCCAGAGCCGAGCCACGTTCAGAGAAAAAAAGCGGCGAGGAAAAATGGCCCTGCGCTTCTCCTCTTGCTTCGCGGGGACTCGGCGCCTCTCTGCCCGGAGCGGAGAGCAGCAGGAGGAAGGCTCCGGCGAGCCGTTCTCCCTTTTCGCTTTCCCCCGTCTCTTTCTCTCTCAGAGATCTCGCTGCCCTTGCTCCATCGTGGCCGCCTGCCTGGGTGCGGTGGAAGGAGGAGAGAGAGGGGACTGAGCGGACGGCGATTGGTGCAACTAACAAAGCCCCCTGTGCAGGCGGCGGCTCGCTCGCTCGCTCGCTCCTGCTGCTGCTGCTGCTGCTGCTGCTGCTGCTACTACTACTGCTGCCGCCGCCGAAACCACAACGCTACGAGCGCATCGCGGCTCCCCACCTCCATTCTGCTTTCCCCTCGCAGCTCCAGTTGCACAATAGAGCCCGGCAGCCTCATCAATATTCATCGCCCTCGCGCCCTCCTCCCCCTCCGCTCCCGACTCTTAGACTAGAGCAATGGAGCTCCTATCTCCGGCTCGGCAGGAGCGGGAGGAAGAGGAAGAGGAAGGCCGTGGGGGAGCGAGGAAGAGAAAGGCGCTCTGTTGGGCGCGCGCGGCTGCGTAGGATGGGGAGAGACCGGGGGATCTGCGCTTGTCGCTGGGCGGGTTTGCCGGGGCGAAGCTTCCCGGGATCGGGGTGAAAGGGGGCAGTCAGACAGAAGGGGAGGCCGACGATGAAGCACCTTGGACGCCCCCGTCTCGCTCTGCCTCCATCTTCGGTTCCCGGCGATGCGCAGGCGAAAGCGGCAGTCCTGGAGCGCTCCCCTTCAGCCCCACGGAGCCAGCCCGACCTCGACACAGTTGCGAGAAGAGCGCAACCCAACAACAGCGCCCCCTCCAGCCCTCGCGGGGCCTCGCTGCGATTGCAACAGATGGGCCCGGCCCAGTATTGCACGGCGGCGACGTGACTCCCCCTGGAAGGCGCCTTCCCCAGCCCAGCGCCTTCCGGACTGGCATGCACTACAGGTCCCAGGACCTCCGCCCGGAGATGATGGGGGCTGTAGTCCATCGCGGTCGGGAAAGCGCTTCGTTGCGAGGAAAGGCGAGGAGCCCGACTCCTCTTTTCCTTCCTCGCCCAAGCAGGAAGGTGGGTATGGGCCACGCATGGCGGTTGCCCGGGGCTTGGTTTGAGCACAACCAGCGGGCGCTGCTGCCACCGGCTCTTCGTCGCCCCGCCGATGAGCCCAGGCGGCGCTCGCCCAGGGAGCCGCCGCCGCGAGGGCGAGGGCGAGGGCAAGCCTGGGCGCTCCTGCGGCCGCCGCAGCCCGGGCGGAACAAGGGCAGCGCCGACGGGGACCTCCGTGAGCGAGGCGGGGCCCCCTTAGCCGCCCCCCCAAGTAGCTCGGTGGCCTACTCTGCAGGGTTCCTGCGAAGATTCGGTTTGCCGGGCGGCAGGGCTGGAAGAGGAGGAGACGCACCTGTGATTTTCTGGTTCTTGCTGCGTTCTAGATCTCAGCAACATTGCTGATGGTCAGGGACTGCTGGGGGGGGGGGTGGCGGCGGCGGCGGCGAGGAGCGGGGGCAGCCACAGCCCCCCAGTCCTGGGCTCACGGGTCAGACGGGGGTTGAGGATGCCCAGGTTCAATTCCCCACCCAGCCACGGGGTGGGGGGCGGGCTCGGGCTCTGTCCCAGTCAAATCTCTCAGTCTCACTTACCTGGCGGAGGTGCTGTGCTGATGAAACGGAAATGAAGAGCCATGCTTGCCTCCTTCGACTCCTACTCCTTAGAGGAAAAATGGAACATAAACAACACCAATTACTGTAGGAGACGATGCATGAAGCACTAAAAATTGCGCTTTATCCCGCCCTTCTGCCAGCAAACGGCATCCCCCACTAGATCCTCAATTTAGGGCCATGCGCTGGGCTAAGCTGAGATAATGACAAGCCTAAGGGTCCTTTATGTGTGGAGGGTGGCAATTTAAATCTGCGTGAACTCGTCCTTTCTCAGGCCGTGGGACTGAAGGCGAGTGAAGCAGCTGCCTGGCTGACACCAAGCCGGTTTGGTCTGGTCAGTCCTTGAAGGGGAGACCACCCGGGAATAATATGCCGAGTTCTGGAATGGGGGAAGGGGGGGATAAAATACACATAATTTTTATAGAGAACCACCAAGGCGGGCACATCCCTCGATCCCTCTCTGCTGATCCAAAGGGTTCTTTTGCTATAGTTCCCATCATATACAAAGAACCTTTCCTCAACTGGCGCCTTCCCGATGTTTTTGCTATAATTCCCATTTTCTGTTGACCACGTTGAACCTGGCACTGATGGCAACCAAGGGAATGGATTGGCCTTGTATACACTGTTGGTTGTAAGACTACAAGCAGCCGGCGAGCAAACTACTCACAAAACTTGAAGGGCATCGGTTTCACTATGGGAAATCAAACACACTAATAGCAAACACATTCTCCAGGAGTAGATCCTCACGTAGCCAGGACATGAGAAAAGTGTCCGGCAGGTCTGGGAGAGCATCAAAGTTTGCAGAAGGGCAAGGGGGGGGGCGAAAGTGGGCAGGAAGACGCCGTGCAAGAATGGGCCGTGCAATGTGGGGGTCACCCCTGTCCCATCCCATCCGGCGGCGACGTGACTCCCCCTGGAAGGCGCCTTCCCCAACCCAGCGCCTTCCAGACTGGCATGCACTACAGGTCCCAGGACCTCCAAGGAGGACTAGGCAGGTTCCGTGGCTTTTGGTGGGGGACAGAAAACGGGGGAAGAGCATGGGATGTGGAGTCTCCCAGAAACAGCATGGCTTTTTGATTGCAACCCGAGCTGTTGCAAATCATCCAGAGAGCTTCACCTGACTGGGTGGTATAGACATAAAAGTAACAATAGCAACAATTCTGAAAACAAAGGACATGTGTAAATATAGTAAATTTCACGGATGTTTTCAGGCTTGAACCCTGAGGCGCCTCAGTTTCCCAAATCAAATGGATGATAAAGGGTTTATTATGCCATGATGAGGGTTCCCCCCTCCCAAAGCAGTATTTTCTTGAGAAGTTGGCTACAGCTCCCATCACCCAGAGTAAGCATACCATGCGGCCTAGGAATGAAGAAAGTTGTGGTCCAACACACCTGGAAAGCACCAGTTTGGGAAGTGTGCTCCGCACTTACTGGCGACTCTGGTTGAATAAATGCTACCTAATCAGAATCACCACAATGCATTTCTACACTGCCAGCTAGCTGAAGCTCCCTGCCGTTCCACAACACTCAAAACCATAAAATGCAGCATAATAAATGTAACATTTAAAAGTTTAAAACTACAGTATAAAACCAGCAGCATACAGTTTTCAAAGTACAATAGAGATAAAAACAACAGCAGCTCCCTCCTTGTCATACACATACACAAACAAAAATCAAATTGCGTGATCTGACTATACCAGCCTGAGGAAAAATAACCTGTATTAGCTACCGGGAGAAATTGCTAGTACTTTAAATTGCTTTGCACTTTAAATGGTTAATAACTGTCAACAATATTTTCCCATGGCCATTTCATGCAGATAGACATTTCTTGCCGTTTGAAATAATTGCATTATTTATGGGAACTATAGGTGGCAGTGGTGGGGAATCGTTTATGTCAAGGTAGACTTGACATCTTTTAGCACTGCCCTTGCAGTGCAATGTATTTGAACATAACCAGCATTTATAAGACGAGCTGCGCTGGATCACAGCACAGGTCTGCTTCTTTCGGTGTCCTGCTCACAGCGGGGCCAGCCAGCCAGCTGCCCGAGGCATGCCCTCTCGCAGTGGCACCCTCCCCATCGCGGTCCCCGGCGAGTGGCGGTCATAGGAATACAGTTCCTAATACTCAAGGTCACAACTCGCAGCTATTAATAGGCTTTTGCACCGTGAATTTATCTAAGCCCTTTTAAAGCCAGAGTCGGAACCCTAGGCAAACTATAGTTTGTACATGGCGGGGGGGGGGGGGCAGGCAGAGAAGAGCAAGGCTCTCAGGGAAATGCAAACCAAACAAGATGCTTGAACATCATTCCAGCACCTTGATCCTGGATGGGACAGGGGTGACCCCCCACATTGCTGATAAGCTCTCAGGGTGTCCAGAAGATGGGATCCCTGAAGGGATGCATTGGAAGGACATTTCAATGCTCCCAGTAAAAACGGGGGCAGGAAGATGTTATCGCTTGTATGCTGGTCCCAGGGAAAGATTAAGTTTTTTTGAAATTATTGTCCATTAGAGCTCAACTTGAAGAAACGTTACCTGTGGTTGAAGATCCTTATGCAATTTGATCAAGCTGCTTTTACAGTTACTGCCAACAAGCTTACAGGGAAGGCTTTTAAGGCTTTTGTTGTTCATGTGTGTGAAAATAGGCTTGACGTGACCTCTGTGTTCTATTTCTGCCCCTCTTGGTAAAAGTGACTGACCCTACGGTCATATAAAATCCAACTGATTGGCACACAGAATAACGGGCAGACGTGAAGATACTCCAAACCGGAACAGCTCCCCAGAGGAGAGGGATTTGGATCCTAGTCAACAAATGAGTGGTGCCAGGTGTAACATAGCGCGGCTCTTCATTGCTGTAAAATAAAGTTCCTTTTACTCTACCTGCATCCCTAGGTTTGAGTTCATACATTCACCCCACTTGTGGAGATAGTATCTAAATCATATATTTTCTTCAGGGCCACAGTGGTCCATTTATGCCAGGATTTATGGAATATTTCTTTCTTAGCCTAATTGCTGTACCAAAGGTGGATTTTCTAGAAGATGCGCAGTCCCCCCTCTTCCCAAAACCACCCTCCTCCAAGCAAGCTTGGGGGGAAATGATATTGGTATCAATTTATCCAGTTGGAAAGAAGAGACATGTTGTGGAAGAGACAGATTGCCAATTAATTGTAATTGAAGAGAATGTGAGGTGATCTGGGGAGGAGTACAAATGGATTAAAGAATGTATTTTATTTCAGGGGGTTTCAATGAGAAATGAATTGACTGACTTCCACTTGTGTGAAATTTAAATACATTGGAGTACATTTAAATTGGAATCGATATGGATCTGCACCTGCAAAATAGATGCAGGTTTGTGTTCTCTGGACCTTGCCCCTGAATCGTTTATGGTCCCAGCATTGCTTCTGGTGGAGTACTTTCATCTCCCCATGGTCTGGTTCAGTATCTCTTTCATTGCAGTCCCATTTTTAAAGCCAAATAGCTTCTAAGGTAGAAGCAGTCTTCCCTGTCAGACAATCAGAAGCACAGCCAGCCAGTTCCTAATCATAAGGGGTACCCTCCTTGGGGTCTAGAGGCAGGAAAAGGACTTTGGGGCGGGTATTTGGGGTAAAATGAGACGGAGGATCCCCAGAGGCAGTGGGGCTGGCTGGCTTGCAACATTTTTGAAGAGAGTGAAGTGGTCCATGTTGGGGATACAATTCTATGAGAGTTTAGACAGCAAAAAAGTCCCAGAACGCCAGGCTGCCTAAAAATGGGACTGTCCAAAATGTTCCATCCCAGTGCAATTTTCACAGCAGGCTGGGAGAGACTGCTTCAGAGGGCAGCTGTTTTGACTGGGGCGTTCCTAAAGTTCTTGATAAATAACCAGTAGGCTAAATTCATCTCCCACCTTTCCTTTGATGTGAAGAAACTAAACTGAGAACGAGGTGAGGTTACCCATGAACCTTGTAGGAGAGCATGAGAATTTAGTCTCCCAAGACACGATGGAGAGGGGGAATACACCACCCACTGGAACAAAACACATTTGGGCTATCCAGAAAAGAACTGAGTGTATTTTCCTGAGTCATTTTCAAACAGCGGTAGGCAGAAGCTAAATGTGCAAGCACGGGTGGGTGGACCGCCCACTTCTCGCCCTGCCTGACATTATATTGATGACATGAAGAAAAAGCCTGGAGTCCCAGGAATGAATCTTTGGGTGAAAGAAGGACCGTGCGTTCTGTTAATTTCTGATGTTTAGCAAATGCCTAGGCACAGAATTCTTTAATTCAAAATGTCTGTCATTTGCACCAGGTTCTGGTTAGTGGATTGCAGGGTTTTAGGAAAGAGCAAAGCAGAAAGAAAGGGGGAAAACATACCCTGGTTTTAGAGGCTACTGGGCAGTACAGAAATATAATAAACAAGTTGCCAGAACCCAAGGCAGCTCCAGAGCTCCCTCTGCTGGTCAAGGTCCAGCACAGCAACCCTGGTAGTTGCAGGATGATTACCCCAATCTACTGCAGCTGGCAGAGCTCTCATGAGCTCCACCTGGGAGCCCTGGGGGACGAGCTTCAGAAGAACTGGCACTTCCCTTCAGAAGCTGCTTTGGCAACAAAGGCTTCCTATGTTGCTGAAGAGCTCCTAGTTCGTGGACTTTGCTTCTGCAGCTCTGCCTGTGATCTGGCTCCAGCCCTCAAGATACCTGCTTCCCTTGGCTTGTCATCTTGGCTTCCTCCTTCCTGGCTTGTCTGACTGTGTTTGCTTCCCACAAGGCCTCTGCCTTGAGCTTCAGCTCCCAGCTCTGACCTTAGGGCTATTTCTGACTCTGCTTCTGGACCAGCCCCGGTTGCTTGGGCCATGATGCCCCGTCTGCTAGTCCACCACCCACACCCTGAATGCTGACAGTTTGCTGAGGCTGCCTTGCACCCTGAGCACCAACAGAGCAATGAGATCCAGGCCCTGCAGCAGGCGAAAATGCAGCTACCCCTCCTGTGACCCCGCACCTTCCCTGCTGGCCTGCTTCTCTGGGGACACAAGGACCTGCGGGGCGTCACCAACCTGTGCTGCCTCCTGTTTCAAATGTGCCCCTAGGCACAGCCAGCAGAGCACAGCCAGGTGGCCTGATTGATTCATCTGCTGTCAGGACCTGCCTTGGGGGCCTCACCTTTGCGGGGAAACAGAGCACCCCTTCAGCGTTTCTGCAGGCCCTCAGGGACGTGTTCAGGGAGGCTAACCAGGAGCACACCACAGAAACGGGCGGAGGCTGGAGGCAGGCGACACGGCAGCGCTTCACTGCCTGCTGGCCAATGCTGAGCGGAATGAGGCAGCGCGGCATTTTCACCTCTGCTCCGGCGGGGCTCTGCGAGGAAAGACAAGTTAGCCGGAATAGCTCCCCCCACTGAGCTGAACGAGTTCATTGCACTTTGTATTCTAGGCAGGCTTAACAGAGGAAGACCAGCCATGGGTGAACTTCATGGCTGACTACGTATTTAAACCCACAACTGCAAATCCTGATCTGATACTCTAACCCAGCCTTCTCCAACCTGGTGCTCTCTAGATGGTGGTCAGCAGCCCGGGTCAGCATGGCCAGTGGTCAGGAATTCTGGAAGTTGCCCTCCAAACAGCAGCTTAGGGAAGGCTGCTCTAACCATTCCGCACACTGCTTCCTTGTACATTCCTCCTGCCTTTTGTCCAAAGGAAACCAAATAGTAAAAAGTGCCCTAATTATTTGTTTTTCTATCTAGGCAATGAGCAATCCCTCACATGCAAACACATGACAACATTTAGCAAGAGCCCTTTCCCTGTTGTTGACTAAAATGGAGAGATGATCATTTGACTAGTTTACACAATATGGCCTTTTCACCATGAGGAGCCCTTCCTGATAGTAGCAGGGTTTGTATTCCCACAGATAATCCCAGCAGAGAAAGCAACGCTCCCCCAATCACAGTGGTTGGGAAACATCTGCCGGCCGTGCCCACCACCACCGCCCCGCTTCATGTTTAAGATGCCTTTGTAGGGTACCCAAGGGAGAGGATGCTCACATGGAACTGAAAAACATGACTAGCCCTTATTTTTAGAGCAGAGGTGCAGAACCTCTGGTCTGGGAGCTAAACTCAGCAATTGGGGCGGCCCTTTCCCGAATCCCCTCCCTTCCTCACAGTACTATAGTTTCCCCACTAGCGAAAGGGCCTGAAACGGCTCTCCTGAGGCTTGGATCCTCGCAGGAGTTGGTTTCAGTGAAAGGCTGCAGATTGTGGGCACTAAGCCTTCTGTCTCCATCTCAGCAAGGAAGTGACATGCTGCCTCTGAGAGCTTCTCATAAGAACATAGGATGTGGCCACTTACTTGAGAGCCAGTATGGTGTGGTAGTTAAGAGAGGGGGACTGGGACTTAGGCAACCTGGGTTCAAGGCCCTGCTCAGCCACAGAGCCACCTGGGTGATTTGGGGCCAGTCGCAGACTCTCGGCCCAACCTGCCTCGCAGGGTTTTTGTGGGAATAAAACTGAGAGCAGCAGCAGGAGAATCTGCAAGCCACTTTGGGTTTGGTGTAAGAAAAAGCGGGATATTTATCTAATACGTTATGATTTACAGTTACAACAACAAACTTAGCATAAAGTGCCATGAAACACCATGTAAGAGATAATACTGAGCCAGACCATTGGCTCGTCGAGCGGAGCCTGGTCAGCATCACTCCCCAGCCACCGGCACTCGCCTTGCCAGCTCCTTTCAGGCAGAGGGGCAGGTTGGGCCCAGATGCAGGAGACAGAGAAACGATAGCAATGGCAGTGGCTTGCAAACAGACCTGCTGGGGGTATCTTATTCATGTCTGGGCCTGCACAAAATACTCCGGAGGCAAAACTGCCTAAGGACATATCAGGACAGGCTATATGTTGGTTTCAAAATGTGCAGACCATCATAAAGACCCTGCCTTTTGGAATACAGGTAACCCTGAGCAGCCTCTTCCACTGATCTGGACTTCCAGGCCCCACGGGCAATCCAGTTTCTGACCAATGTTTGCTATAACTAGTGTTCTGGCAAGAACACCCACACAGTAACAGCCTCTTAAGCTGTTTGCTTCTTTCAAAGTCGTGGCCGACTCTTTGCAACCCCACGGACAGCATTCCTACAGGTTTTCTTGTCCTCCACCATCCACAGAAAGTATAGACAGTGAGAATTATATTTTTGCAACCTTGAAGCTTTGTAAAGTATTCATACAATTAAATGCCTATACATTCAAAATTACTAGTTTTGCTTTGCTTGTTAAACACTAGAAAGGTTTTAGAAACTGCATTTTGAGGAGAAAGGACAACAGCACTACCCATTCCCATATAACACTGGTCTAAAGTCACCAGGTGGTACCTTTCCCTTACCTAAAAAGTAGTAGCCAGTTGCTATGGGAACAACATCCCGAAACTTAGGACAGGGATTGGGGAGAAGGAAGATTCGAATGTGCTGGTAAATGTTGTGAGCAATTTCTAGACAAGAAGGGGTTCTGGAGTCCCATTCTTTTAGTAGCAAGAAAAATCTCAGTGAGATTGGGGACCATGGGTTAGAGCACAAGGATGCAACAGAAGAGAGAGGAGATTAGCTCAAGAATAGGTGTCCCACCTCGCCGAGCTGGACAGTTCATGGGAGAGGCTGCTGGGGCTGAGGAACTCCCAGGTGTGGACGATCCACCTCCCTCTGAGTCTGACCCCATGGCGAAGTGCTGGCGGAGGCGGAAGTGCACGTAGATGAGCAGAGCACAGAGGGAGGGCGTGCTTGCCTCCAGGGAGCCCTCAGCAAAGTGCTGGGACGCAGGTGTGTTCACAGGGAGGGTTCGAAGAGGGAATTTCTAGAGGAGGTCAAGGGACTGCTCTCTGCATGCTCAGAAATTTGCGATTTGTCACAGAGGCAATAAAGTATATTTGCAAGGAAACAACCTGGGACTGATTTGAAGGAGGAAACTTGGCTCAGGACACCTACTTTATACTAGCTCTAGTGCTAGGCAGCTTGTGGTTCTCCAGATGCTGTTGCACTCCAGTCGAGGCTGATGCAGGACAACTGGAAGCCTACAGGTCCCAGATGGAAAAAAAGATTTAGGGCAGGTGGGCAACTTGTGTCCCCGCTGTGTTACTTGTGCCCCTGAGACAAACTCTAGTTGCCAGATCCCAGTCCAGACCTGGTGCAAATCGAAGGTGAGCGAGCAAGCAGTACTGAAAATGGGGAGATCCGCCAGGTGCTGGGTTGCTGCTCGTCTATCCCAGCTCCCAGTCCTGTTTGCTGTATGCTCTGAGCAAACGGGAAATTTGTACAAAGTAAGCAGTGAGCAAGCAAGAGAGTTGTGCAATTTTCTTTATAGGTTGAAGAGGGACTGATTCAAGCTATGGACAAGATTTATGAAACTAAGGAATATGAACCAATTGAATTAGAAGCAAGACAGATGTACATTTGCAATCTGTGAAGATTTTTGGTGGACAGATATTCACATGTGGAGCTCCAAGCAATACATCTTTGTGTGTGTTGCAAACTGAAAGGAATTTTCCACCAGTCCTTTGAAAAGGCATTATTTTCTCCTTCACTGGGCTACCAGGTTGCATGCTTCTTCTCAAGTCTCATGATTTCCCCTCTCTCTCCCTTAGTAACCACCAAGTAACAAGTAAGTAAACAGAAATAAACAGAAACAGAGTAACTATTTTCTTATTCTGTTGGAGTTGATTGAGAAGAGTTCAGATGTAAGCTTTTTTTTGGGAGGGGGGTGGAATCAAGAAAACTGGATGTTGGGAATATAGAATATAGTGATTTGGGAAGTGGGTGGGTTAGCTGCAAAAAGAACAGTTATATCTAGAAGAAAGGGGGTGTAGCTAACCTTTTCTCAGTCCTCCATGGAGACAGTTCCCTGTCATGAATTTGTTTAACATTAATTATGTCTTATGCATTGCAAGGGGTGGCATTCACCCCAGGGGGGTACAAAAGACTTAAGGGGGGGGGTCCTTCGGAAGAGGCGCTCCAGTGCTCCTTCCTGCTTGTGGTTTGAGGGGGTGGATCCCAAAGAGGTACTGTTCTACTCCACACGTCATGCTATTGGATTAGCAAGTTATTGGATCCAGCAGGTGAGCAGCACTGAAGCATCTTTCACTGGATTTAGACCGAGTCTTTCTGCAAGGAAAATGGCAGTCAGTGCTTGCAGGGTCCGTTGGGTGGTGGTTGTTGCTGTTTTACTAGAAATCTGAGCCAGAACCTGGTGCAAAATACTGCAGTCAAGCAGGGAGCTAATCATATGCAAAGTTAAGGAATGGAGCGATCCAGTTTGCACTACCATTCTATCCTTAAGAAGCTGTCATGGCTGATTGGCCAGGCCATGCTCGCTGGTGGCAGCCAGCTGGCTTTTCCTAACTATTCTCACTCACGTGGCTTGCTGTGTTATCTTAACCCAGGCAGTATGAGTTGTTTGAAAGGGCACGGTGAGCCTCAAATAACCCATCACCTGCGTGGGAACAGTACGACTACTGGCATCATTCTACCAGTAAGAGGAAACAACAGCCCCTAGTCTTCCTGTTCTTGATGGAGGGGAGACCAGTGTGTTCGTCAAGGTGAACAAAACACTTCTGGATCTACAAAACAGAAGCATAAAATTGCCCAGACAATTCTTTTAATTGTAATTCAGGAACCACTAAGCTGCTTCACAGGAAGAGAGATTCCATTAAGCAAGTGTGTTTTCTCTTTACTGGGATCTTATTTCATGTTAGGAACATTAATTGTGGCTGAATTGCTCTACAGGGCAGAAAAGCATCCACCCACTCCCGTTTAGATGTTTCGTCCCATACCAAGACACACCACCTCACATCTGTCCTAACATTTTGCCGCCATCTAGTGGCCCTATTAGAGCATGACAGTAAGAAAAAAATGTAGGTAGTCATGAGCATCACGGCATTAGATGCCGGGCCTGTGACTGGCTGCATTGTGCATTTCTCAGAAATCCCAAAGAAGGGCCAGGGGCTACTTTAAAGATACTGGCAGAACACAGAAGAGCTTTGCCTGTCTCAAGACAGCGATGCACTCCTGCACGACGTACCCTGCCTTACTCTCAAAAGGCTGGTGGATACCCTGGTGCTGTGGTTTTCAGCCTTTCCACAGCTGGGGACCAGCAGGAACAGGAAAGCCACCCCAGGGACTGCTGAGGCCTCCCCTCCCCGCCCGGTGGCATCAGCGCACCCTCGTGAACATGATACCAAATGAGGAACAGGTGGTGGCGCACACCAGCCCCCGCACTGGTCTGCAGCGAGTGGGGTGCGGCCCCACGCAGACTCACTCCAGTCCGTGGACTGATGTGGAGTGTTCAAGAGCAGGCACTTTGCTGAGGAAGGACAAATACAATTCTTCACAGGCTCGGAGACGAGGGGCCTCAGGCAGGGCACTCTGCTTTTTGGATTAGTAATTTTTGGTGAGGTGGGGGCATTCAATAAAGCACACAGAAGTGGTTCTCATGTTGTTTTTGCCTTATCCCCCATTAACGTGATTCCCTAGAATGTCGGTCTCATGGGGACAGCACTATTAACGTCTGGAAAAACTGATTTAAGCCCATGGGATAGAGGAAGATATTAAAAACAAAACATTGTGCAGCTCTAAATCTATAGGGACAATGCAGCTGTTTGAAGCAAAGGACACACTGGTAAAATCCTTGGAGAAAATATTTCAGTGCTTTAGCTCTAATATTTACAGTAGTATGAATATGAAAAAAACAGACAGCCCAGACTTGAAATCTAAGGCCATAGCTTTCTTGCAAGAGGCTTATAAAGGTATGTTAACTATGGGGAATTCAAAACAGCGCCACTTTAAACAATCAGATAGACTTACATCTCTGTGTTAGCTGAAACTGCCATTGTAGTGGCAATTAAACTTTTCCTGTTTACTCATTTAATACTCATTTAATACTCAGCTTCAGAGCCATACACCCTTGCTTTATTACCTGTTCCCATTGGATGAGAGCTGCTAACATACTAAATATTCCATCTGATCTTTACAACTCCATTTAGTACACTGGTACTGTTTCCTCTTCATTACAGATGAGGAAGGAGAAAGGTTTGAGGCTAAGGTATACAAACAGACCCGAGCTGCGGCAAAATTTCAACCGAAGCTCTGCCCTCACTACATTAGTCTGGGGCGCTTTTAGTGGAAATTGCTATCGCAAATGCACTGTACAATCTCTTAATTGTGAGCATTACTGACATGTAACTGGAAGCACCAGGGCTTCAGTCAGATGGAGAGAAAATGAATGCAATGTAGCATTAGGTCACCCCCAGTAAGTCTCCAAATGATGCTGCTCCAGCAGGCTGTTAGAATCAAACTAGAGGTCCCCTAGGGGTCCTAACCATCAGGAAGTACTTCCTACCATCCAGATTGAATGGTAGGAATGCGTCATACAGAACCTCGGTGTGACACCCCCTCACGTACTTGTATGTTGTCAACAGATCCCCTCGGAGTCTCTTCTTCTCCAGGCTGAAAAGACTGTTTCCCTCAGTCTTGCCTCATACGGCTTTCCCTGCAATCCAGCCACCATCCCTGTGGCCCTACACTGCACTGACTCCAACCTGGCTATATCCTTTTTGAAATGTGGAGCCCAGAAATGAACACAATATATCAGTGGTGGGCGCACCAGAGTTGTATAGAGTGGTAGTAATAGCTCTCTCAATCTAGAAGCCACACTTCTGGCTATGCAACCAAGGGTGGCGTTCGCCCTCTTGGTTGCTGCATCACACTGCTGGCTCATGTTTAGCCTGCAGTCAACCAGTACCCCGAGGTCCCTTTCACAAGTGTTGCTCTCCAGCCACTTGTCACCTAACCTGTACTTATGACACCTATTCCTATGCCCCAAGTGCAAGACCTTGCACTTATCCACATTAAATGCCATCCTGTTGTCTCCTGCCCACTTCCATAGTCTGTCCAGATCCTTTTGGATCTGGAGTACCTGCTCCTCAGTTGTGGCCACTGCTCCAGTTTTAGTGTTTTCTGCAAATTTGATCAGCAGACTGTTCACCCCTTCTTCCATGTCATTAATGAAAAAACAGGATTGGCCCCAGGACAGAGCCCTGGGGAACCCCGCTTGTCACTGGCCGCCATCCCGATGATTCCCCGCTAATGGTTACCTTCTGCTTTCAGTCAGCCATGCCCTAATCCACTGGACAGTGCTTTGGTGTATCCCAAAACTCCTCAGGTTCTCCACCAGGATATCATGGGGCACTTTGTCAAAGGCCTTGCTGAAATCCAGGTAAACCACATCCACTCCATCTAGCCAGCTCAAAGCCTTGTCATAAAATTCCACAAAGTTCATTTGGCAGGACCTGTTTTTGCAGAAGCCGTGTTGTGTGGCTGACAACCTCCCTTCCCTATCTAGGGTTACTAGATCTCTCGCTATTATAAGCCTTTCCATTGTCTTTCCTATGTAAGGCTAACCAGCCTATAATTCCCCATGTCCTTACTACCCGTTCTGAAAATTGGGACCACTGACGCCACCCTCCAGTCCTCTGGAACCTCACCCATTCTCCATGAGGCCTCAAAAATGGAGGCCAGTGGACGTGAGAGAACCCACGCCAACTCCCAAAGTACTCTTGAATGTAACTCATCAGGGTCCAGCGCCTTTGTAATGTCCAGTGCCCTGAGGAGCTTCTCATCTTCTGGGGTGAGGGATGGAGACTCTAACCTGTGCCCCTAAATCCCCAGCCTCATTGGATCCCCCATGCAGATCTCTCCCATCCTGCTTTGGTGAGAACACAGAGGCAAAATAGTCATTTAGCATCTGTGCCTGTTTCCCTCACATCAGCCACTGAACCCCTTCCTCCTTATTAAAGGGTCCCACCACTTGTCTCCCCTTCCTCTTGGTAAATATTAAGCCAGGTTGAGCATGAAGGTTCTTGAAGTTAGCTACTTTTCTACTTGTTTTTGCAGAAAACACCCTATTTCAACAAGTCAGGCTAATTATGAATCCCAGGAGTAGCTGCTACCATTCATACAGTACTTACCTCGAGATATACTTGCTTTGCCTCCAGGGAGGTGCTATCTGCAATTCTGTTGCTGAAAATATTTGCACGGGAGCCCACTTGCTTCAAATACAATTGCCCTCTTAAAGGCAACGCTGTTGTTCAGTTCAGCTTAGGGCTACTATGCTAATATTGGAACTTCTGAGCTTTACGGGGTTATTACAAAGATGTGCCTTTAGAGGAGGGGTTAGAGGCAAGAATTTAGCTCAAAGGGAGAGCCTTTCCTCAGGAAATCTCATAAGGATTTAGCGAAGTCAGCAATTCTCAAGTAGCCAGTTGTTAGTTGCGAAGTCGTGCCCGAGCCATGATGACCCCATGGACAACATTCCTCCAGGCTCTCCTGTCCTCCACCATCCCTTGGAGTCCACCCAAACTCACACCCACTGCCCCAGTGACTCCATCTAGCCACCTCATCCTTTGCTGTCCCCTTCTCCTTTTGCCGTCAATCGTTTCAGGGTCTTCTCCCATGAGTTGTTCCTTCTCATTAGGTGGCCAAAGTATTTTTCATCTTCAGTATCTGGCCTTCTAAAGAGCAGTCAGGGTTGAGCTCCTCTAGGACTGACTGGTTTGATCGCCTTGCGGTCCAAGGGACTCGCAGGAGTATCCGCCAGCAGCACAATTCAAAGGCCTCAATCCTTCAACGCTCAGCCTTCCTTATGGTCCAACTTTCACAGCCATACATTGCAACTGGAAAAACCATAGCCTTGACTATACGTACTTTTGTTGGCAGGGTGATGTCTCTGCTTTTTAGTATGCTGTCTAGATTTGCCATAGCTTTCCTCCCAAGGAGGAAGCGTCTTTTAATTTCTTGGCTGCAGTCACCATCTGTGGTGATCTTGGAGCCTAGGAAAATCTGTCACTACCTCCATTTCTTCCCGATTTATTTGCCAGGAAGTGAGAGGACTGGATGCCATGATCTTAGTTTTCTTAATGTTGAGTTTCAAGCCAAGTTTTGCGCTCTCCTCCTTCACCCGCATCAAGAGGCTCTTTAGTTCCTCTTCACTTTCTGCCAGTAGAGTGGTATCATCTGCATATCTGAGGTTGTTGATATTTCTCCTGACAATCTTAATTCCGACTTGTGATTCATCTAGCCTGGCCTTTTGCATGATGTGCTCTGCATATAAGTTAAACAGGCAGGGTGACAGTATACAGCCTTGCCATGCTCCTTTCCCAATTTTGAACCAACAAGTAGCCAGAGTCACTTAAAAATTATACTGCAGCAACAATGGGAGCATGTTGCCCTTCTGATGCTGGGAGATGCCAACTCCCATCTTCCCTTACCATGGGCTACGCAGGCTAAGGAGGGGCACAGGTGCCCTATCCCTGCATTGGTGCTTTGAGTGAGAGGTCTTGCTTTGGTGAGTGCTGGTTTCCAATCTGAGGCAAAGTGGACTCATTGTAAGGGAGCAGCAACAATTACCTCCGGCAAGCAAAGACAAGGATTTGGCCTGCCAGTACTCAAGGCATTCTATAAAGCATTTTCACAATAATGTACAAGGTTGCAGATTGAATCGGCCCTGACCAGTTTGTATTTCACCTGCCCTCAAAAGGGGGGCACCTTAGGTGAAAGAATGAATCTGCAGACGACTCAGCAAGCTGGACGCATTTTGGCCAGAAGAGATCAGGCTTTATTGTTTAAGCCAGACCACATCTCAGTCTGATTTTTACTTCAAAACGAAAATAAATAAATTAGGCCATAAGTCTGAAGAGCGCTCCAGGGCAGCACTAGCCCAGAACACGTGATCTTCCTCTCCCACCAGCCCTTAGCTTTGACAGCAGGGTTTTCTTCTGCAAAGTTAAAGGGCAAACGCTGTAGTCCCATAAGTAACCATAAAGCCACAGCCTGCCCGTCTAGCAGCGTGAGTCGCTTTGGACTGTGCTGTTCCCACTAGTGAAACAGCGCAGACACCCACGCCTTGTCCAAAAGGCTTTATTCGGCAGATGGTGTGGCTGGCAGCACACAGGGAAGAACGGCAAGGACAGACAAAGCTGTATTTCTCTCAAAACTGCCCAGAGGTCAGCCAGGTGGACACCAAGCCGGACAGCTCCCACTGAGGCCGGCCACAAAGTTCAAACGCGGGGTGGGAATAGGAGGCTCCACCATGACGTGGCAGCACATACGGACCACATTCCGAATCTCAGGAGGCTGACACAGAAAACGTAGCCAGGCTAAGGTAGAGGTGTGACCTCACCTGTCCTGGGTGCCGAGTCCAAGGCGGGCACTGTGAAGTTCACAGCTCTGCCCCTCGATCATTCACGCCAATCCTGCCATTGCCACTGTGCTGACTGCGTGGAGGCAGAGAAACAGCCAAAGCACTGAGGTACACTTTATTACTGGCAGACCGTTGCATAATGACTCTGATTGGAAGCAGCAGCCGGTTACCTGCAATGGGTAAAAGGAGCCAAGTAATAGCATCAGTTCCTGGCACAAAGGTTGCTCTGGTTGCTCTTGAGGCTGCGGCTTCAGGTGGGAGACGAGGGACGTCAGCACTGCGATGGTCGATCAGGATGTTTCTTTGTGCGCGCAAGTAAGGAAGCAGAAACTCGCGGGTTCGCCTGGAATAAACTTTCAACTCTCATGTTAGGAGGCTAACTGCTGAGGGGGGCCTTGTTCTGGCAGCACAGCATGTGCTCAGCTCCTGAGAAGCCCCTGAAAGGCAGAAGATGACAGGTGGAGAGGCTCAAAGAAAGGATGTCTGGAACTGCCTCAAAGCCTTTCTGCTTAAAGAGATCAAATAGAATTGATTTCACCAGTGTCCCTGCTATTTGGGCTGTGCTTTGTTTTCTCCTGAATTACAAAATTGCTCAACAAGAAGTAGGTGGAAGCCATTCCTCCTATCAAAAGTGCATGCAGTCTTAACCTCTGCTTCTGGTGTAAGTCCACAGTGCAAAGAGAACACAGGTCAAGCAACACGTCCGTCCAGCAACGAAGAACACTGGATGTTGACATCCATGCTTGAGCTTAGTGGTACAAGTATCTCTGTGGACAGAAAGCCATGTGGATTGTCAGAAACCCTGACACCAAAATGTTTCTTGCAGGCTAGATATCAGTAATTCTGGGAAGGTATGATCCAGCACTCTTCAAAAGTTTAATATGGGCAAAGAATAGACTTGGAGCCTTAAAAAAACTTATTTCATTTGCTGATTCCATAAGCTTAAGTAGCACTTGAAAACATTATTAAATTCGAACTAAGCACTGGGAAATCATCATTATGGAAGAACATTTTGGAAAAAAAAACTAGAAAAGATTTACCTGAAACTCAGAAAAGAAAGTGCAACCTGACCATATACTGAAAGGAAAGTTACCCTTCTGCTCAAGCAATGGAACAGAGTGTCTGAAATGCTCCTGAACTAGGATTACAGTAAGAGCAAGGATGCACTTTTGTAAAGATCTAAGCATCTACATAAGCTTTTCTCATTAGTGAGATTAGTTTCTGAGAACCCAGTGAATTTCCAAATATCCTAGTATAGTTTTCTTAAAGTACAGAATCACAGCCTGAAATGAAGTAAACCCTGAAGGTCCGCACAGGTATGGCTATGGTGACTTTGTAAGACAGAACTTGGGTTCCACTAAATAACAGATTCCTATGCATGATGTGATGTAATATTATTAAAGGCTGCAGCTTTATAAAATAAGAAGCTAGAACAGTGCCTGGCAGGGAAATTACACCTTAATTCGAGGAAGAAAACCTTCTGCAGAAGACTGAACTAGGGGTATCTGTGTGTTCGGTATGGACAACGCTAGGTTGCTAAACCACAGGAAACAGCCACAGTGATTTGATGTGTTAGCTCAGAATCTTCAGTGCTTAAGGAAGGGGGACCCTCATGACACAACTGACAAAGTTAGATCAAACAAGGATCGAATAAGGTGACAAGTGGAGTGAATTGAAAATCAGACCTCTTGTCCCTTCAGGGAGGCACGTTTGTGTTTGGGATCCAAATGCAGTGACTTTTTCCCCAGTAACTTTTGTGTTAGGAACAATGATTTGTGCATTATGTGGAGTCATCGTAAGTCTCCAACACGGAGACTCATTGGAAGGCAGTTGATCCAAAGCCCTCAGGTTTGGAGCAATGGAGCTGACTAATCCTATGGTTCTTCATAAAGGACATGAGTTTGTGCTGGAGTGACACGAAACTGTTCCAGAGGTTTGAGCTGCAGCGTACAGAGAACTTCACGCACGTGTTCTGGACAAGGTTATGGAAGAGGCATTTCCTCAACGGCAAACAAGAGGTTAATAATAAACACCTTAAGTTAGTTTACAGGGTCTATAGTTAAGGACATAGAAAGGAAATGAGCAGACAGACAGAAATACACAGAGTGTGCTGCAGAACCAGTCCCAAGAGCATCTAGGACAAGCCCTTGAAAGAGTCGAGGTTGAAGGCAGTGTCCAAGAAGCGCTGCAGTTCAGTCAGGTGGTTCTTTTTGTTGCCTGTTGCAGGTGCAGCAGCAGGTTCACGTCCAGCATACCTAAAGGAAACAAAGCAGGGGAGACCGGATGTTCACCCACAGCTTCATGATCCTCCTTGTCTGGGTTTATCGCCCAGGTGATGCCTGGGCTTTTGTTTCCTCTGCAGTTGGACTGAGCTGGTCTTGCACCTCCTTCGCTCTCTTCGCCTAGCCTGCACCCACACGGCAGGGGCTCTGCTATGCAAGCAGGAACCACGTGAAGCCCCCTCACTTGCAGAATACCTCCATCCCACAGTGATCGATTATTAAGCCTAGCTAATGCACAGTGTTCCAGCATCTATAATGTCCTCCCCACTGCGTATAAAACGTGACCTCCCCACACTCACCCAAGCATGTAAAGAGGGCACTCACCAAACAGGCTTTGCACGGTCAATGGTTGTGCGGAGTCTCGGCTTCACGTAATCGTAATAGCCTTGGTTTTTGTGTTCTTCCTGACACCAAACAAGGTCTGCATTTGGGTACTTCTGGAATTCCTTCAGCAGGAGGTCGAAGGGGAATGGCGACAGCTGCAAGCAAGAGAGAAGAGAGCTCCATTGTGGTACAGTGGTGAGTGTTGGGCAGGGATGCGAGAGATCTGAGCTCCAGTCCTTACTGGGTGGCTTAGGGCTGGTTGCTGATCTCAGCACAATCAACTTCACAGGGTTGCTGTGAGGATAAAAGGTAGCGGGGGGCGAATTATGTAAGATGTTTTGGGTTCCTTGCAGGAGAAATAGGTAGAATAAAAATATAATATATAAAAGCCTCTAATTCAGAAGGTTTATGACTGGTCAATATTATACACAAATTGTATATATACACATCGCAGACAGTGATTTGGTTTGTAAGTTCCATGGGGTAAAAGGAGTGGGGCTTCAGTATTTTATCCAAAGAAGAAGCTTACAGAGCTAGTAAGATTTTTTATTTTCAATCCCAGCAATTTTATGGTCTTTGAAATCTGAGGTGCCTTTCCAGGTCAAGGGGGATTTGCAGAAATAACACTGGCATAAATCCCTTTCCTCTGCAAGTGAAGGAAGATTAGTTAAAAAAATTACCCTTGCTCATACACCAGGTGGGCAGGCAACAAACTCACAAGGGCTGATGCAAGATGCTCACCAACTTGAATCCTCAAGTACTTTGCCAATAACTGCCATCATTAAGACAGAGACGAACGTCAGCTGTTTATCATATGCTACCCTGCATAAGCAATGGCTCCGTTTCAGAGCTGTGGCCCACAAAGCTCAGCTGCGGTTCTAGAATGAACCTTCCAAGCGTGATTGGACTCTATCCAAAGCAATATTTGGAAGGATTATTTGGAGAAGGGTGCTTGGAACATCCATTTGAAATATAGCAGATTCCTTCCCTAAGATTCCTTTACGCTTAAGGCTGGGATCTGAAATGCTCCATGGCAGTGGTCTGCTTAGAGTCAACTTCCAAGCCACAGAAGCATATTTCCCACACGTGCCTCACCTGCTCCACCCTTGTGATGGCCACATCTGCTTCCATCTCCCGGGCCTTGCGCTCTCGAATGAGTTCATAATAGACTTTGCCAGTGCAGAAAAGAATCCGCTTGACCCCCCCTGGATTCTGTGCAGCCTGGCCACTTTCTGGGATGACACGCTGGAAATGTGTGCCTGCAACAAGGTTATTTATTAGTCACATGGCATCATCACGGTGCATGGCGCTTCATACAGTCCAAAGCTGTCTCTGTCCCGAGGAGCTTACAAACAAAAATTCAACACAGTGAAGCCGGAAGAATGGGAGGGGAGCGGAGGCTGGGGGAAACCCAAGAAATGAGAGGCAGTTGCTTCAAATGGTGATGCTTTGGTATAATGACAGGCCACAGTTAACATTAATGCACTAACAATTTTGGTGGAAGTAAACCAAATTGTTCTTTGATGTCATTATTATTTACATAACTGAGCTTTTAGAACCACCATTATGACAACAGCTCTGCAGCTAATGCTTTGGCGAACTCTGGTTCCCAGCTTCCCAAACCGAACCTGGGCTGCTTAGGCCAAATGCCAGCAGCCATCAACATTCCTGAATCAGGTACAAGCAGCCATAGAAAACCGATTCTTCCTCCAAGTAAGATGCATATCACTGTCCCTTCAAGAAAACTGCCTCTCAGAGGAGGAACAAGGACCCAAAAGTGGTTCCAACAACTACCTTTGCAGGCATCATTTAATGATAAGGACATCTGCTTACACATACGTAAGACTCAGAAACAAAGTACTGCCCTCTCTTTAAGGGTCACAGTGCCCTCTAGGAAAGAAGGCAGAACAGACAAGGTGGCTGTACTGTATTCCTAGTTTTGCGAAAAGGCAGGTTCCTTACCTGAAAGTGTAGTTGTTCTTTGTGGTCGTCTGTGCATTCAAACACACATGGGCTTTGCCATGCAGCGCAAGGCCTGGAAAACTTCCATAGCTCAGCAGGAGCCCCCACTTTTATCCAGACCCCTGAAAGGGGCAGGGCTTGCACCGACTCTGTGATGCTGAGCTGTGGAAGTTTTCTCCAATCCAGGCCATATGCTGTGTGGCAAAGCCCATGTATGTGTGATGCACAGAGACCACGAGGAAGACTATACTTTGTCTGGAAAGGGATAGCTATTTGCCACTGGCCAATTCTAAGAATGAGTGATGAACCCCTTCCCCCAGCTGATGAGTCTCAGCACCTCTAGAACATAAAATCCAAGTGAATCGAAGAAGCATGTCATGGGGCACTGATAACACCTGAAGTGTTGATTGGGAATTTCTCCTAGGCCTTCCTAGCAAGCTACGACAGAAACCAGGGTGGAGTTTCTTATATAGTGACAAGTGGAACAGGTAAAGGGGTGGATGACTTGTGGCCCTTCAGATGTTTTGGCTCAACACTTTCATCCTTCCTTACCTTTGGCTATGCTGGCTATGGGAATCACAGTAAAAAAAATTGAAACACAAGCTGCTTGTTATCTCAGCTAAATGTTAACAGCTTCCCAGCAACCTTCCTGTTTTGCCAACAACACGGGAAATAGCTCAGGTTTTACTATGGGGCACAGCTGTCCCAGTGCTAGGCCATCATGTCACCTGACTAGCTGACATGGAATACAAAATAAGTCCCCCCCCCCGCATGCTCCCTGTACCTGGCAACATCTCATCAAAGCTGGATCGAGCTTCAGGGTGACGCAACAGTGACTTTGGAGTGAAGATTATCAGCTAAAAAAGGGAAAGGATTGCAGAGTTAGTGACAATACTGGGATGGAAATGTTTCCTGAATAAGCACTTAAAATTATGACATAAGCATAATAATTCACCATGTATGCAGAAATTTAGAATACACAGTGTTTTCCAGTGGGGGGATTCTGCTGGACAACTAGGCTAATGAGGGAGCCTGGCTTCTTGGTGGCCTTGCTTTGGCTTCTCTGACACTCTCAACAGTGGCTAAGGGGGCAGGATAGACATCCAACCAATCAATTAGCTGGAAATGGGGATCCCAGCATACATGCGTAGAATGCGGACACTCTGTGTAACATAGGAACAGCAACCAAACTCCAAACACCAAACTCTACATTGAGAGATTACTGATGGAAGACTGGGTTAAGATTAGATGGTTAAGATTGGAATGGGTAACTTTTGACATCTGGAAGTCATCAGCACTGCTTGGTACAACTGAACGAACTTAGGCACATTTCTAAGATTGCTATTTAATCTTCTTGCATTATTCTACTATGCAAGTATGAGGTTTCTATCTGATAAACTTTCTTTTGATTCAGTTTAAAGAGTTTGTGCCATCCTACTCAACAAAATGGGCTGTTACCTGCAAACCAAGTGTTTTGTCTGCACAGAAAGATCAGTAGAACATCCTGGCAGTCAAACTGACATTCAGGTTGCTTCCGCTGCTTCCTCTATGCAGTCATAAATGAAAATAAATTCCTACAGATACATGCTCTGGCTTTTGCCATTGACTGGGGAACCAAGGGCTACTTGACTCTGGGGCGTGTGTGATTATAGTGAGGGAGAGAAAGTCTACATCCATTTCTGTGCTAGTAAAATAATTCTTCATACTGACCGGCTTCCGAAAGGGGAGAAGTATCTGTCTCCGTACAACGTGGAAGAAGTTTGCAGGTGTGGAGCAGTTCACTACAATCCAATTGCAGTCATACAGGTGGCGCACCTCAAAGTCATCTAGTTTCTGCAGGAGAATGACAACGAACATTCAGAAGTGGCTGGAAAGAGTTGCATGTTCTTGTACCACACCTTTCTTCAGCTGCTAGTGAAGGATCCAGTAAGACCTTCATTGTCAAAGTAGTGTATTTTATCATCAAGATTCACTGAAAATTCTGGGACAGGGCCTCACTTCCCAGGATTGAGCAGCCATTCCATGCACTATTGACTGATAAGCTGTAGAGAAACCATTTCTCAAAACTGCAAAAAATAGGATTGACATGCACATGTGCATAAGTGGAATGAAAGAAAGGATGAGAAAGCGTGTTCTAAGGGATACAACGCACCGGGAAGACATCTGGATCGTCATTGCACATTTGCAGGAATCGCTCTGGTCTGGCGGAAGAATGCTCAGGGCCCTGTGAACAATGAGCCGGATTAAAACTTTCCCTTGGGTATTTTAAACAAAAACTGCATTCATTTTATAATTCCACGATTATATTATTACTCTGAGAGCCGAGTCCAAATTCAACCATCTGACAGAAATATGTAAAGGTAGCCATATTTTCCTGTTTTGTCTGGTTCAGAACTTGCCACAGAGTCCAGAAGACCTTATATCCATGAGCCATAGACAGACTTGAACTGGTGGCAAGTCTGCTAAACTGGACTATAGCCTGTTGCAGCCTGGTGAGGTTCTATCTCAGAGACGCATCTTTCATCAGGGGAAACGCTTAGTACGAGCCTATCCAAAATATAAAGGCAAGGCAAAGACAAAAGGCTGTTGATGAGCAAAGTGCCTCCTTACCATGCCCTCCATCCCATGGGGAAGTAGAAGCACAATGCCATTTTGTCTCACCCACTTGGCCTGTCCAGAGCAAATGAACTGGTCGATGATACACTGGGCTGTATTGTGGAAGTCGCCAAACTGCGCCTCCCACAGCACTAGGGCATTGGGGCTGGCCATAGCGAAGCCCAGCTCAAATCCTGCAATGACACAAATGAGAAACGTGTGCTTCTTTGGAGCAACTGGAGACGGTATTAGAACAGCCTCCCCTTGATTCCTGTAGGAAGCGGTGAGAGGTACATACCCAGGACTCCGTATTCCGAGAGAGAGCTGTTGCAGACTGTATATGGGGCTTGGTTGGGCCACAGATGATTCATGGGAATACAAGTCCTCTTATCAACGTTCTGATCGTGCAAGACATGGTGCCGGTGGCTGGAGCGCAATGACAGTCAATGGAAATGTTGCCCAAGTGGTGAACAATTTAATTAGTTACAGCAAGCTTGCAAAGGAGATTGCAGTCAGGAAATTTCAAAAAACCCATTTGCCCACACATATTTATGTCAGTAACGTATGGCATACGGTAGGCAACTCATTTTCTTCCGGTTGACAGTAGCTGCGTTGCCTAGGCACAAGGGGGCAATTGCCATATGCCAGAAATGGGACCCAATGCTATGCATTTAGGGCCACCTAAACACCCGCTGCGATTAGTGGATTTAAGTACGTTGCCTTATGATTCTAATAGATTTAGACTGGTCTGTACAGATTTTGTTCATAAGAATAAACACTTTTTTTAATTACTGTGGTCCTAGCACTACAAACATCAGTACTTTTCACGCCCAACTTTATGGATTACATTCTAGGTTATGGATTTACATGAATTCTCAGAGTCTGTTAAGGAAAAGCTGGTCAGATACAGCCAAGGGAATACTTTACCTGAATGTTCCTCTCTCAACATCCTGTCCACTCAGTCGAATGTGGATTCCTTCTTTAAGGAGAGAGCCAAATGCCATGTACTCTGCTAAGGCCCAGTCTACAGTCCTGTTAGTAACCATCTCTCCACGTGTTTTCAGAATCCTGCTTAAACCTGCAGAGATAAAGTGTTTTTAGCCTGCCTTGAAGAAACTACAGTGGCTGTTTCCAAACTATATACCTGGGACAACATTGTTTACACTCATGTTCAGACTTGGCCCTTAAGATGTCTCGAAATATTGCTGTTTTAGTGAGTGTATGGTAAAGTAGTAAAGAATGTTAAAGATCAAGGTGGAGTAAAGAAAGAGTGTAGGAATGTCAAAGCTGAAGAAGATCAGTTGGAAGATCTCTTTCTACCTTAATTTGCTAACAAAATGGACTGGGATATTAGGTCAAGGCAAAGTGCAGTGAGTCATATGACATAAGGAATGCCTACATATCCATGAAAACTAGAAGAATCAGCAGAGAACACAAATTGCTTAACGTTCCAGTTAGAAACACTTGCTGAACCTCTGTCCAGAAGGAACTTCAAGGATATCACAATTCCTTAACCCACTGTGACCTGTGTTCACAATGGGATGTGCAAGAGCACTAGTGTCACACTATGACTCTCGAGGATTTCCCTTGGCTGCTCCCGACAGTCCTTGGACTACATGTGAGCGCCTCAGTACAAGATCACTGGCACAGCGGAACAGCCAATACCTACTTCACTAGCAGGCTGTTCTCCCCAAGTTGTTTCCAGTGCCTGCTCCCCTAGTTCCTCTTGCAGTCTAAAAAGTCTACCATACATGGCGCACCTCATGGTTGTTGTGAGAATTGCTCATCCTTAAAGTAGGTTTAGAAAATCGTACCACCGTGAATAGTGAAGTTTTCGACAGGCACTGAGCTGGCCACCTTTCCGATATGGACCAAATCTTCCTCATTCAGACCCGTGGAAGGGCAGGTCATGCTCCTGGGTTGGCCATCCAGAGTGAAGAAACCTGGGGAAATAAAGAAATGCACATTCAAGGCTGATACAGACATTCCTAGGAGCAAGCTTTCAGTGCTGGAATAGTATCTAAAAAAGTTCACTGCCGATTTCCCTTTGAGAAGAAAACATTTGGCAAATAAAGTATTCTGAGCTAAACCGCTGAACAGGATATTCCTTTCCAGAGCATCTGCAGCAAGGACAAAACTTGTTTAGCAAATGCCCTTCTCTTCAATGAAAGTGCAGTTGTTTATCAAATGTGTAACGCTTACTGCATTTGGTCCCTTGTAAGGGACTTTCAGTACCAGAAGTACTGGGCAAGTATCTCTCTTTTTAGTGCCAGGAACTGCAAGCATAATCTATTGAAAGAAGAATTAGTGCTTCACTGAGGCCATTAGGAAGCAGCCAATAACCTACCCGGCCATGGAGAATCTAGCCAATGCTTGATGTGAAGGATTTTTTCATCCTTGGACCTGGCGTGGGCCTCTTCACAGATTTTATCATACTTGGAAATTTCCTCCTGAAATGCATAAACATAATTTTGGGTCAACAGTATCCAAGGAGTAGTCCATTATTTTTTGCAGCCTATGCAAAGAATACCATAACGCCACAATTTAGCAACAGGGCTTGGCGCAACAGGGATCTTGGGGAAAAAACTGTTTTCTGAGCCAGCGTTAACTGCTAGCCTCTGAATCTTCAAGGACTTGATCTCTACTTGGCTCACTTCCTGCCCAGGGCTGAGCACAGGAAGGAAGTCCACTGAGTGCTGGATTGTGGTCTGATCTTCACATTCCTAACATGTGCTAACCAGAAAGCAGGAGTGGGGAGGGAGGGGACAATCTAGAGAAAAACAAAATAAAACAAAGGCAGGTCTGTACCTAGATACCATGGAAGCAGAAATAGTGAGATAGATTGAGTGTGTGTGTGTTTAGGGCAAAGAGACCCTGAAGAGGAAAACTGAAGGCTCTGTATGTACATTGTACATAGAAGCTGGCAGCAGAAGGGTAGAATATAGGCACAGGACTTGTGTCCTCAGTCATATGCACATTTTCTGATGTGTCACATGTACGTAGCATATGCTTAGACCTTCTGGTTGCTCTATCTTGCTTCAGCAGCCTAATTGGCTTCCATAGTGGCTGTAGAACTGGGCTAATAATGGAATGGGGCAGGGGAACAGCCTGAAAGGCTGGAATGAGAGGCCTGGTGGGCTGCGTGTGGCCCAGAGATTCTTTATGCCCGCCTTAAACAGTCCTAGAAGGAGTTATGAAGTGGTGGTTGGAGGATGCATGCCATGATTTGGTACATTCCTCTGATCCTTAATTCCCTCCCAAAAACTCTTTCTATATATGAAGGAAGGATTAACAGCTCCTCTACATGCAACACAGGAGGCAGTGTTCAGGGGACTTTCCCTCCTGCACAAGCCAACTCATGTTCTTAGTCTGCAGATAGAAGAAAACTACTAGATAACTGTTTGATAGGATCACAATTGTAACACATCTTCATTTACATCACCTCACATGATTTTTTCAGCCATGGAACAATGAGACTGATCTCCCTACAAGTTTTGTAAGGTGATTATGAGCTGCACAATATAAATATGAATTAAGATTTAGTTGCTCTACTTGACTTGACTCTAGTAGGAAAGAACTCCCAGGCCATGAAGTGACAGCACCACTGGGTCAGGACTTCTATTTTTAAGACTACTATGTTATTAGTATAGGCACATGCTATTTTTATGCATCTTTGATATTTTGTTTAGAGGTTCATTTTCCCCAATTACTTTTTCAACATCCTCTTTCTGTTTCATTTATAACCTTCCTTCTTTCCGCTCCAGTTCACATACTGAATAGTTCTGCTACATCCTGTAGCCCACCTGAAGCAGTGATAACCTTGCCATATTGTACAGACAGACTGCTTCCTTTGTATAACTGCATATGCAATTTTAGCTTTGATGCTCCTCCCCACTCAGTCATTATAAAGTGCGTGCGTGTGTGAGGAAAAGTGGAGAAGACATTGCTAAGATCACTGCCCTTAGATTGCCAAAGGTAAACGTACCTCATATTCAGACTGGTTTACCACTCCTTGTGAAATTAGTGTCTCGGCATATTTCTGCAGCACAGGCTTTTGCTTCCGGATTTGCTTGTACATCAATGGCTGAGTGAACATTGGCTCGTCCATCTCATTGTGTCCATTTCTCCTGTAGGATACCTGGCATATTTGAAAGAAGAACACACACCTCACTAAGTCGGTCTATATTTTTCCATCTTCCAAAGAAAAAATAGTTTCCCAAGCTTATTAATTAGCTGGAAATAACTGATGGATAGAAGTTCAGGGGGACTAATGGTTACCTCATATTAGCAAAAAACCATTTTCACTGGGAAGTTTTCCCAGAAACAAAATGATCTTGATTCAGAGGCCAATTCCTGAAAGGGGAGGCAGATATTGTTTTTTCTTCCCTCCTCTCCCTGGCAACTCTGACATTCTCCGTGCAAATGCTCTAAAGAGGATCAAGAGATCCTGCTGAGTGAGCAGGCTATGGCCTCGGGGGCGATGATGAAAAATTAGGTGGAGGCACTTTCTGCTCTTTTCAAATGCAACTCCACCTTATTCTCAGCAACCTCCTCCTCCTCCTTCCCTGTGGGACATTAACCCTGGCTTAGTGCACTAGAGAGGGTGCTATTCAGCCGTGGCCTCCACACTCTGGAACTCCTTCCAACCAGCCTGTGTCTTGCCCCTTCATGTCATTCAGGTTGGCTTTGGAGATCTTTGTCCTTATTGTTGCCTTTATTGATTTCATATGCTGGCAGAAGAACTTCATAAATAATTTCTGGATACCTGTTCTGATATGATCACCTGTGATTTGTAACTTGTTTCTTTGTAAACAGCACCCATCCCACCCCAGTCACGTTAAAATGCATTTGAATAATCACACTTCTCCACAGATTTCAGCTTGATGTTTTCTTTAAGAGCTATTATTTCCTTATACACTTCATTCCCAATATACCCAAAAGAGCCAGTGGCACCTACCAAATCCACCACTACATCCTTGTGGAAAGTATTTCTCCATTCGGCTGCCACATTACATACATATACCACAGCCTCTGGGTCATCAGCATTGACATGGAAAATGGGTGCATTAACAACCCGGGCCACATCTGTTGGATATGGAGAAGACCGAGCCATGCGTGGATCAGTAGTGAATCCAATCTGGAGAAGACAACAGAAACCATTTATGAGAAGGAACCATGAAAACAATTAAGGCACTGGGTAAGAGCTGTGAGAGGACTTAACTTTACTGGCTGACTTTCTGCCAAAGAATGGCACTCAAGGTAACAATAAAACTGAGATTAAAAATCAAATTGGGATTAGAAATAAAATCTTCAGTTAAAACATAATAGTTGGAACAATTAAGCATACAACTAATGCCCAACAGAAGCAAAATAAGTACTAAACATTTAAGAAAACTCCTTCAGCAACAGAGCAGCCAATATGTTAAGGGCATAAATAAAAACACTTTTGCCTTACGGCAAAAGGACAACAATCCAGCCATGCTCAGCAAGAATCCCAGAGTCTGGAGAACTTCTCTGGATCTCCATTAATGCATCATCCTTCACTGAAAATGCTTTATGCAAAGCTGGTCGACTGCTTAGGCACTGATAACAAAACAGTGGGGTCCAGAATCCACTGAGAATATAACTCATTCATTTAATTATTAATTTAACTGTGTGGAACTCCATGAGGCAGTTGCCATGGTGCAGAGTGACAGTCGTCCAGCACCACCATCTGGAAGTAGTCATCCAAGTAGGAATGGATCCACTGCAGAGCATGGTCAATGGTATCAAAAGCCACTGAGAGGTCCAAGAGAATCAACAGGGCCATACTGCCACTGGTCTCTCTCCCAACAAAGGCCACAGAGTGACCGAGGCAGTTTCTGTCCCGAACCCAGGTGGACAGCCTGATTGAAATGGGTCTAGACACACATTTTAACAAAGTTAATAGCAAATATTGGCTCCCAAAGCAGCTTGCAATTAAAACCCATCTCAAGAACACATAAAAATTAGGTATGTGTGTATACGTGGTGGGGGAAAGAGAAGATAGCTTCCACCTGCATGCTTTTCTTTTTGTGTGAGTTGAGTTCCTCATGCCGTCATTATTTAAGCTGATTATTCCTTTTAAAAGCTGCCCTCTGTATTCTAAATACCATGGAGGTACGGCTCTTTTCTCTCTTTACATTATGAAAGCTCTTTCGCCAAACAGTTCAACAACTGTTAGGCCCTGGGCATAACCCTAAGAAATTGGGATTTCCAGTTGCTGAAAATGATAGCTAGGAATGTTCGTAAGCCATCTAGCTTACCATTCTCCAAAGTGAAAAGAGGAGCTAGAGAAGCTGACATTATAATAAGAGATCCACATCTCACCTGGTTGTTCACTACCACATGAACTGTCCCATGTGTTGTATAAGAAGGCAGGTCACTCAAGTGGAAAGTCTCATAAACTATACCTTGCCCGGCAAAAGCAGCATCTCCATGCAAAAGGATGGACATCACCTTTGAAGGACCAAAACAAACAAACCAATGGCTTTTAGTAATCTTGAACTCAGATGCCCAGAGCTGGATGGAGGTGGGTGAGATGCTACTTAAGAAGAGATTACTGGCTCAAGAAAGGAGGAGTCACGACAAGCAGCTTGGCACTGAATCTCAATCTCTCTCCTCCCCCCGCACTCCTAATCTGGCCACCCAGGTGAAGAGAAGAGAAAGGCCCAGACACGTTATATCCACCAACTTACTTTCTTTCCTTCAGTGTCTCCACAATAAAACTGTTCTGCTTTTGTCTTGCCCTGAACCACAGGATCAACAGCCTCCAAGTGGGAAGGGTTTGCAACCAGTGAAAGGGTGATGTTCCGGTCAGTGACACGATTAATTCTCCGGTGGTACATTCCCAAATGATATTTTACATCCCCTGACCCCTAAAAAGAGAGGACAAATATGACTTTAAGAAGTCTGACCTTCGATGCTGGGAATTTCCAGGGCCTCAAGATGCCACAAAATGTTTACAGTTTGAGACCTTTGGAACGGAATGAACCTTGCCCAAATTGCATGGACTGCTCTTTCAAAGCTAAGTGCAGAGATGTTCACAATATAAAACAGAATGGAGAAATGGGCGGTGGTGCTGCTTGGAGGCCTGCCTTGCTTTGGCCTTCACTTCTGCGCACATTGATGGGATTTTGCAGCATTGCTCTGCCTAGAATTAGTTTTCGATACAAAAAGTATCCGCTCTTCTATCCCACATGCAGGCAGGCGCAGCAGCTGCAGTCAGAAATCAGTAATCTTGTAGCAGAATTCAACTGTTACTTTAAGTCATTTCAAGAGTGTTTGTATCTAACAAGGCTCACTTTTATAAAATTACCACTCTATGGAAGGAGAAAATAATGCAAAAATTTAACTTGTATTATTCATTTCTGAATCTCAGTTTATATGAAAGGCTGGGAAACCCATTTTAATATTCAGCTACAGCAATGTGTGACAGTTTTGTTTTGGATCATTTCTAAAACTCTGAACAACTGTAGGATAACCCCAGTCTTAAGGCAGACTCAGGTTATCCCTCACTGATCAACCAGTAAAAATGCTAGAGGCAAGCTTCTGAGTCACACAGGACCTTTTAAAAGTGGATGTTTAGGGGACAAAGGAGAGAGATGTTGCTTTGTAAAGCTGAGTAATCATTATCAGTATGAGGATGAACCCTGTGAAACAGGAGTATACAGGTTAAAGAACTTGCTCACCTCATCTGCTGCCTCCAGCTTGGAATCAAACTGGCAGAAAATTTGCTCTAACTCCTTCCTGATGACATTGGCAAGCACGTTCAGACGCCCTCTAGAAAATCAAAATCATATTTAGAAAGAAATTGTAAGTTTTGTATAAAAACAAGATTCTTTTTACAATTTTGCCACAGACCTTACTATGTACAACTCATGTGGCAATTTATGGTTCTGTGTTTGACTTCATGGCAATCAAATGGGCAGTAATCTATCATTCTCATTTTTAAAATGGTGTAGTAAGACTGGGGGAAGAGCAAGTTGTTTAGGAACACAAAGGCAAGACCACAACAGAGAGGAGATGTCACCTCAGACTTTTTAGATTCAACCACAACTTGCATGCCAACATATCATCATAACCTTATAAATTTCATTCCCTTCTGATAGTTTACCCCAAAGTTACCTATGAGGCATTCCCATGATAACATAATCCACTCCTTTCTCACTTGATTTGTCAATTATTGTCTTTAAAGCTGGAATCAGCACCTCACAGCCCTCCAAACCAAACCGTTTTTCAGAAGACCACTTCCTATGCAGGAACTCTTCAAATCTGGAAGGCAGAAAATAAATCATTGTTAAGACAACTGACAAAACACACATAAGGGTCTCAGTGAGATTATTTTGAGTTGTGTTAACTAATACACTATTAACAAAGAGACACTATCATGATTCAAAAGGAGAAAAATGTAGGAGGAACCAGAAAGAGGACTATGCAGATCAACAACCAACTGAATAAATATAAGCCATCTAATTCTTTCCTTGCTGTGGTAAGGCCACATGACACAAAAGCATTATGAATTAGGTTACTTTGAAATGGATGTGTGGGAGGTGTGCTAGAATCTGTAAAAATCAGTTCAAGGAGGACATTGGTTACATTATAAACGTAGAAGCAAAATCAAACATGGTGAAGAGGTGATCGTTGTGTTCCCCCTCCCTCCAGGTGACATGGGCTGGTTATAATCTAGGGCCTGAATGTCCAGGGACAAACAGGGAAAAACTGGGGGTTGCAACCAGGTAGAGCGAGGGAGAGACTTTGAACTGACTCCCCAGATGAAGATCTGTCGTGGTTGCGTGTGGAGGCCCGGGTGGAGGGTGCAGTTGCCAAGGCTGAGGAGGACTACAGGAACGGCGACAGTGGTGCTCCTGGCTGTGAGTGCCTCTCGTGCTACAGGCCCTGATGGGCTCTGTGCTGGGCTGGAGGCAGCAGCCACTGCAGTGTCGAGGCCAGTGGGAGGCCGCTGGGCTAGACTGGAGGGTGGCACTTTCCTCGAGGTGAGTGCATGCACGCCGTGTAAAAGTGGCCTCCTCAGAGTGGTGGGTCTTTGCACGCTGCCCCAGCAGGTGGTCCCAATCCGGTCTCGGCGCTGAGGGAGCATGCACGGCATCGATCATGTCGACTGGCATGGGGTGGCGGCAGCTAAAGTCACTGTTCGCTTGAGACCAGGTAGGTCCAGCCAGGTTGAGGTGGTGGCGATGGCGTGGGGCCGATGGCCTGGAGTGGCCCTGGTTGACGGAGGAGTTGGAGGAGCTGGGGTCCTCCCACTCTGACCTGCCGTCTCAATGCCCGGGTCTTGTATCTGTCATGAGTGGGTCCTAGGACTTGGACTGGTCCGCCGAGCATGTGGATGCTGGGGACCACAATGAGGGGCCATTCCATTCGGGTAAGAAGAGTGAGGTGGTCCCCAGAGTCCTCTAGCAGTCAGGCCTTGAGTTGCAGTTGAGGTCGGTGAGCGGGAGAAATGGCGGCCTGGTGAGGCCGATGGCGCGAGCGACAGGCCACATGCAGGAGGTGAGCCTTGTGGTGGTGAGGGTGCTCCGGAGCACTCCTTTGGAGAGTTGGCTCAGGGTGTGGGTGGTTCTCTCTAGCAGGACCCCAGGATCCAGGATACACAGGCATCCAATGAGCGGCAAGGTTTTTGGTGACTCAGTGGTCTTGGTGGCACAGTGCCTCCTGCACAGAGGGGGCTGCAGTGGCAATGGTAGCCCTTCTGTGTGCATGCTTTGCTGCTCTCAGCCTCCAATTTCGAGGAGTCTGCAATGCTCAGGCCATGTTGCTGAAGAACAGACGAGGCAAGTTGCCCACTTCCAATAAGTTTATTTCTTGTAAGCTTGGCAATGTGGACAGGTGTCCATAACATGCCCCTTGCCAAGGCAGAGGAGACAGCGGGAGTGGCTGTCCATGGTGGGAAGGCGAGCAGCGCACGAGGCGCAGCGGCAGAAAGCTGGGTTGGCCATGCGGTTGCACAAATGAGAGAAGGGAGGAAGCACGAGGGAGAGAGGAAAATGGCTTTTTTTCCCTTTTCCCTTTGCAGGGAAGGAATGTGTGGGAGATCAGTCCTGGAGGAGAGTGATGGGGGATCTCTTTACTAAGACAGGAGAAATATATTTTTATTTTATAGAGAGGATAGGAGGAGATTTTAATATGTATATAGAGAAAGAGGAAAAGAGAGAGGAAAAAAGTAGAATGTGAGCTAGAGCTGCAGAGATTCCAACAGGAGATGCGACTCTGTGCTATCAAAAAGGAACTGAGGGACCGGGCAGGGGCCCCCTCCCTTTATCTGGACTTCTGGTAGGAGCAGGCCAGGGCCCCTGCCCACTCCATGATGCTGTGAGCTCTGGAAGTTTCTTTTCCATCTAGGCCTTTCACTCCATGGCAAAGCCCATGATGTATGTGATGCACAGAGACCAAGAAGAAGGGCATTCAAAGATACAGAGGAAGTAGAAACACCTGGTCATGGCATGGCAAGCTGCATTTTTGAAAGGAAGTACATTTGTAATATCCTTGCCCTCCAGAAAATCAGAGTCATATTCTTCTGGATCTCTCAAATATCCTGTTTTACAACTAAAAAGTATGGAAAGCTAGAGTAAAAACAGGATGAGCAAAGAATCAAGAGTTTTCTAAGTCATCTAAGGAGCCTGATAAAAAAGCTATGAGTATATACACCAGTGTGGTGTAGTGGTTAAGAGCACAGGGCTGGGACTCAGGGGATCTGGGTTCCAGTCCCTGTTCAGCCATAGAGTCAACTGGTTGATTTAGGCCCAGTCGCACCCCAACCTACCTCACAGGGTTGTTGTTGTGGGGATACGATAGAGAGCAGCAGAAGGAGAATAATGTAAGCTGCTCTGAGTTTGTTTTAAGGAAAAAGCAAGTAAATCTAATGCAAAAATAAGATTTAGTTGTATGTCTAGTGTGATCACATACAGTTCTCAATGAAATAGGTCATAGGTGAGAGTAAGCAGAAAAAGATGGGAAGCATTAACAGCTGAGGGCTTTCTTTAATAAAAAGCAGACCTTTTCCTTCATGCTAGGCTACATTCAGTAGAACTGCTGCACCAACTATCCCCAGTCATGAGTGGGAAGGGGATAATTACATTCCTGAATGCTGCTTTAGCTCAAAAAATACAATCAGGAAAAGATGCACACTGCAGCATCAAATAAAATACATAGCCTTCCGAGAAATAACTGTTACAAAATGTTTTTGTATTACAAGGTCCACAAGAAAGTGGAAATTGCTCCAGAGAAGAGCAATTATAATGTCCAATGACTGGGTCCTGTGGAATGTTTTGGCTTCATTTTAAAAGACCCGGGGAGCACTCCAGTTCTGAGCGGTACTCCAAAGCAGCGCTTGATCGCTAATAGTACAATCCTAGCCATGCCTATTGAATAGCAAACTCCACTGAGTTCAACTGTACTTACTCTCAGGTGTGTGCAGGATGGCAGGTTAAAACAGCGGAGCGATGAAGCAGTATGAGCACGGAGAAGGAGAAGATGCAGCAACAAGTCAGACTGACAGGCTCGTTTGTGGACCGGAGTCCACGTCACCTGATACATGCAATGCCACCCTGCGCTATCATGGGCTTAGGCCGTCCTGTTCCCCTGAAACCTCTGCCTGCCTGCTACTGGTAGGCGCCTTTAAGTTTAATGGTAGGGAAACTCTCTGTAGCACACACTTTAATCTTGACTCTCCTGATGAGAAACGTTTCAGAAAGATATGCTATGCAGAGAAATGTGTCTCTGCCCCTCAACGCACAGGTGAACAAGCTCTCATTCTTCCGTGCCATGCAATGACACTGGTAGGCTCCTTTTACGTTTCCATGAAATGCCAAACCTTAACTTTTCAAAGCCACTAACACAGAGGAAGAGATGCTCCCTCTTCCTACAGTTCCAATGACTTGTGCAGGCTGACGTAATGCAAGTACCTGGTTGATCGGACTAGTCTAGCCAGCAGGGTGCGCTTCTCTTCATTAGAGAACTGCATGATGCCAGGTGTTTCAAATTTCTGCCTAATCCACTGGCACTGCTCCAGATCATTAATAAACATGAACTCTACACCAATGTGTTGACAGTAAGCCATCTGTTTAAAACAGAAAGGAAGGACACAAGTTAAAATAGAAGTTCTGACCACTTCCAAGTGCAAAATAAGTTACTGTAATATGTTGCCATGTCTCAGTATAATCTTATTTATTGCATTTACAGCCTGCAATCAGAAGCCTCATAAGAAATCAGGGTGATATGCACTGACTGTTTAACCACCATGAACGCACTGTGAGAAAGCTTGGATCAGGGATGGTTAACTTGAGGTCCTCTAGCTGTTGGACTGCAATTTTCATCATCCCTCACCACTGGCTATGTTGGCCAGGCTGATGAGACTTGTGGTTCAGCAATATCTGAATGAGCTGCCCGCTGCTGAATCAGACCAACAGAGACATTCAGGACTACTCAGTGCTTTACAGGTAAGCAAGGATTTGAGCCCAGACCTTGACATCATACAAACCCAACTTACTATGACCTGCATCATGCTGGTGTTAGAAACGGATTTACTCCCCACTGAACTTCATCATGACCAAGCACTTGAAGACTGTGTGTAAATTCATTCAAACCTAATGACTGAAAATGCTCAACTGACATTGGATAACTAAGCCAGCGGTTTTTAAACGCTGGAAATTTATTGGAGGACCCTTGATAAGAAGATCAATAATGCAGACAAGCTTTTTTGAAAGAGACAACTTGATCATTACTACTAGTCTGACACTACATTGTGCAGGGGGTCTAGGTGTTTTAGACTTTACTCTATGCATGTGAGACAACGGTTAAGGCCCAGCTGGCCTGGCTAACACCCTGCGTAAACCTCCTAAAGCACCGCACTCCTCTGTACTGCAGAGGTTCCATGAGAAAGAAGTTGACATCTAAGAATGTAGAAGATTGAACAATAGCAAGTTAAAATGTTACAGAAATAAAAACATTACTATGTGCACTGCTGTGCTCATATTCTAATACTAAGGAAGCAGACTGCAGGAGCTGCGAAAAGAGCAGCAAAGGAATGTTTGGCAAACGCCGGCAAGGCTGGCCTTTAAGCAGCCTCGCTGGAAATTATTTTTAGGTGTATACATGACACTGTGAGCTAACATAAGCAGAGCACACATGGTTCTATTTCCCTTACTAGAAAATGGTGCTACCTTATACAGTATGTAAACAAGATCTGGTTATTGAATGGAAGGTGAAGGTAACTCTGGGCCTCATGATAAAGGAAGGTATGCTTTGAGATGAAAGGGAGGACTAGGGAATCCACTGCTGGGGCAGTGGCCAGGTATTTGCTTCTGCTCTGCACAAACATAGCTATAGCAGGAGTGTCACTGTTCCCACCCGTCCCTTTTCTTTTCAAGAGTCAGCAGCAGAGGTATTTATGCTCTGCTGAGCAAAAAAAAAGGACCCACACTGGCAGGAAAAACTGTATAACAGAACACAAATGTTTGCTTCTACATTCCACAGTGTGGTAGTTGAGCATCCGTAATAGCCAACTCTTACTTTCCCATTGCTGTTGTAGGTCTGGATAACTGCATTTTAACTTACACTGGCTGTTCAGGAAAGGAAGTAAAATAGTATCAGGAAGCAAATTCTCCACAGTTTATTTCTGTGGATCAGTAAAATTATTCTTTGGGGACAGTTTAACACGGTACTTGTTGAAAGCATCAGTCACAGATCTTTGTCAAAAAGGAATTCACAAAGGCTTTGAAAGTATACTGTCCGTTCCAGGTTAAGGTACAACATAACTTCCTATGAGCAGCTGAAACTGTACATGTACTTCCACAATATTCAGTGAACAGGCAGCTCCCAATGCAGGCTTTTTCTCCTTGTAGGTTTCCAGAAGCATCACTTCTTATCAGAAGCAACACCACCAGCTGGTTAACTGCTATGAAGGTCCCAGAGGAAACTTTTAGAGGTTCATGGCATCATATTGCTCAAGTTCTTCACACAAAAGGGAATCCCTCTTAGCACTTGATGGTAGTATTGCTTCTAATGACTGTGGCACAAGGAAAATACTGCTCTGAGAAGTGCATTTACCAAATGCACTCTCCTACCAACTGCCATGAGGAGTGGTATATCAGTATCAGTGCTGCCACTGGGACATAGGATTTAAGCCCATGTTCCCAAAGGTGGTGACTTTCAGATGTTTCGGACAGCAATTCCTAGCATTTCTCATCACTGGCCATGATGGCTGGGGTTGATGGGAACTGAAGTCCCCAAAAATCTGGAAGGCACCAAATTAAGTAGGGCTGATTTGAACAATATGTCTTTCTGAGGAGTGTTTCAGACAGTTATATTTCCTACAGAAAGGTAATATTTAAGAAATGCATGTATTGTTTCACTTGGGAAGTAAGGTGCCAACATTTATTTAATGGTAATGGGGCAGTTTTCCGCCATAAAGATCAGCTCCATGTACTAAAAACTTCAATACCGAGTTTCATGATCTCCCAGGAGTCTCAGAGCTGTTCCTAATCTCAACAACTAGTAAGAATACAGAGCTTCTGCACTGATCTTGAAGATGATATTGAAACAATTTTTACAGCAGTACAGTGTTAAAAAAAAGTTAGTTGCAGGAAAAAAGTGATCCAGGATAACAACTTTGCCTCTGACTAGAAGGCTGCTTGGACATTACTTTCTGCTGCAAGGGCTAAGCTCAATGAACTTGAGACTGGGCCTCTGGCTATCTTTCTTCCTATTCTTGGCATCTGAAAATGAAAGCTCATATGGGGAGACTCCGTGTTTAACTGTAAGTGATTTGTGTAGCCATTTTAAATATGCTGTGAGAAGAACAAGGAAGGTGCACACATTCTTCGCTTCCAGTTCCTGCAGCTTGTCTTGTTATGCATAGATTTGGGGTAGAGAGAAGAGGAATGAAATCTGAACAATTCTGGGGCCTCCAGTCTCTCACCTCTAATCGGCGGATGATTTCTCGAAGCGGAAGAGCAGATTCGTTTCCTCCAATGAACGTTGTAGTGGGCAGGTGAAATACCTTGTCAAGGTCCGATTCATCCAGGCCATAAAACCCTGCAGGATTTTCATGGATTGGAGAAGGCAAAGAAGAAGCAGGGGAGGGTGTTCATTGCAGACAGCCACAGCAGAGCAGCCAGGTTTTGGTGAAGAAGGGAAGGGATAAGAAAGCAGCACAAAATAAGCATGAAGGAGGTTTGCAATAATAAAAAAGCAGCAATTAAAATGATTGGAAGGTGAGCAAGATTCCCTCACCCCCGTATTATAAGGTACACAGAATACAAAGTAATACACTTGCCATGAAATTAGAAATTAAATCCAGGGAAGAATTAATAATAATTTTAGACCAACATAGATACATTTTAGAATAATGCAAAATAAAAAGTCTTGCAAACGTACATTGCCACCATATTATACCACATATTCAGAATTACTGGGGAACTGAAGCAAGAAATAAAGGGTTAAAAGATGAACACCCAGAACCAAAAGATTCAAAAGAAGCATGATTATCAGGTTTCGAGTTCTGCAGAGGACTCTCCTGAATAGCTCACCCGAAGGGAGCATTTTACAATGAACTTTTCTTTGAGCAAGTAAAGTTCTCTCTACAACCCTCACGAAGGCTCTGCTTCATGGAGATCTTGACATTACTTCTCAAAAATTCATTTTAATATCTACTATGCAAAGTTCCCAGTCACATTTACTGTTGCAAGCCAGGACCACTGACTGTATTATTAGCGTTGACATTAAAATACTTTCGCATCAGCAGCTAGAAAAAAATTAAAGCCATTTCAGCTAAAGATCTGAGGACCATATATACGGACCATATATAAAAGGAAACAGCAACTGACAGGAGACTCTATACAGCCACTTGACAAGAACATTGTGATGAAGTCTTTAACGGTTATTAACTTGGGGGCAATAATATTGCCAAGATCCTAAGCCCGCAAATACAGAGGCCAATACTCCTCTTATGCAGGGCAGGTGTAGTGGTGGAGGCTTTTTTGCTAGTCTAAAGGTAAAGGTTTCCCCACGACATTAAAGTCCAGTCGTGACTGACTCTTGGGGGCGGTGCTCATCTCCATTTCCTAGCCAAGAGAGCCAGCGTTTGTCTGCAGACAGTTTCCGCAGACAGTCCATTTCCATGACTAAATACCGAGGTGCACGGAACACTGTTAACTTCCCACCAAAGTGGTATCTATTTATCTACATGCATTTATATGCTTTCGAACCGCAAGGTTGGCAGGAGCTGGGACAAAGCACGGGAGCTCACCCCATCTGTGGATTCAAACTGTTGACATTTTGATCAACCAGCCCAGTGGCTCAGCGGTTTAACCCACTGCGCCACCGCAGTCCCTTTTTGCTAGTCTAGCAAAGGCATTTTGGGGGAGAGGTGGTTGGGGAGGCCCCATGATTACTTGTATCATGGTCTCTCCAGGCGCCTCCCTTCCCCACTCATGTATACCCCTTCCCTGCACCCCTTTCCAAGGTTGTGTTAGTGACCTCAGCAAGGCAACTGGTGCAGTTCTTTCATGCTGCCTGCCTGGGGAAGATGAGACAAATTGCAGATTTCAGGTTGGAGTACTGTCTCTGATCTCAGTTCTAGGAAACGCTGTCTAGAAACCATAGGATCTAGTGACAGTTTGACAACTGCTATGGACAAAATGTATTTGGGGATTTCTGTCTCATATTTCCACTTCAAATACATACCCAAAGCAGCTTTCCAAATAGAATTAGAAACAAGTTCAAACAGAATAACAATTTGAATCACTACTGAAACCAGTAAAAATTAGCATGGCAAACTAATCTGGGGGAGACAAAAGCCAAAACAAAGGCCTGACCAGAGTCTTGACAAAACAATGCTTCAAGGCGAAGGCAGAAGGCTGCTGATGGGGGTGCTAGATGAATCTTCTAGTACAGTGAGTTCTACATCTTGTCCCTTGTTCCTGTACTTCAGATGAAGGTGGGGGACATGAAAAGACTTCTATTCTTGATCTCAACAGGAGGGGACGATCCCATTCTTATTCCTACAAAAGGCCAACTGCAAAGCATGTTATTTTTTAGCAGAAATTTCTGCTCTGTCTATAGTAAATGATTATGCAATTTTGGAAGTGGTGAGAAGTGAAACCGACCTAAGCAATGAGTGGTCAAAAAGAAACTGAGGACTCCAGAAGGGACAGGGGGCCTTGCCCACTCCCTGACACTGAGCTGTAGAAGGTTCTTTTGACCTAGGCCTTCTGCTACTGCTTAAGCCCATAAGAGGCCACAATGAAGAAGGCCACAATTTGCCTATTCCTGCCTTGAATACCAGTCTTCTACAAGTTCTGAAAGTAGCAGATTTATCATGAAGGACAATCCCACAGAATATTCTGTAGTTAAATGAAATGGTAAAGAAGACTGGAAGCAGGTGAGCTGCAACAACAGACTTTTGTGGAGATCATGCCACTGTCTCATTCTCTCTCTGAGCATTTATATTGGGATGACTGGATATTGCAATAACCCCATCATTGATGCCAATGGCTATGCTAGCTAGGCTGATGGAAGCTGTAGGCCAAAATATCTATGGGACTACCACCTATCCCTGATCTGGGGATGCTAGAAACTGATCCATGGGACAGCAATCCAATTAATTATAGAGATCTTATGCAACCAAAATTAGGCACCTTTTTAGAATAGCATATAGGATCATGTAGCAGCAACAAAATTGAAAAATATTCATCCTTTTATATGTACTAAGGAATTTTCTTTATATCCTTTACTTCCCAGCTGTGTTATATCCACCAGAAGATACTAGCTTGCCAGGAAGCCCAGAAAAAATAGATCAATTCTAAGGACTACATATAGTGTGATATATCCCCACACCTTACATTACTATCACTCATTTCAATCATTACATCAAAAACACCGATCCAGATAAAAGATTACAAAGAAGAATTTGGACACCTATTTGCTCAACTCATCTGCAGGTATTCAGTGCAGGATTTCAAAGGGGCGGCAATGACTTAGTAGAACAGAAAAATAACGAAGCCTAGTTATTTAGATGAATCTCATTGCCAAAAAGTTAAGCATCTATGTAGAGCACACTGCACAGCAAAATAAATTAAGAGAAATCAGCCTACGTATCACTGTATGAGCCACGTGGACACGTACACCGATGAACATTCAGTTACAATGACATTTTACCAGAGTCCTGGATGCTAAAGCATGACAAGCGCTTTCCAAGATACTCAAGGCAACAAACCAAAGCAAGCGAACAATAGAGAAAATGGCTACCGGTCTGAACCAAATGAAAGGGTACATAATTTGGGAGCATGTCTGATGAAACATTTTGATCATGCACATTAGCTTTACTGTAAAACACTGAAGAAGGAAAAGGCATACTGCCGTTGCAAAATGGGGCAAGTTGTAACTTGACTAAGCTGCACATGCCCAGAGTCAACTATTCAGAGAGTCCTGATCTCCAGAAGGGTTAAATGCTCATTATTTGCATACCTCCTACTGTTAGCACTCTCAGCCGCTCCTTGAATACTGCAAGATCTGGGGAAGGAGGGAAAGGTGGGATGCAGAAAGGAGAAGACAGAGACACCCAGTCAAAGTTAGTTTTTAAAAAACCCCAAGAATTGTGAAAGTAGTAATATAAAGAGAGAATCAACTTATTAAACATACACAGTTAAATCCACTAAAGAGGGTTAGAATGAAAGGTGAGAGGTGCCTGCACTAATAGAAGAAGAAGAAATCCTTGTATGACTCTTTCAAAGCCAGTTACATAATCTATGCAAAGAATAAAAGGCATGAAAGTTAATACTGGATAAATAACAGTTCAGCTATACAGTTGAGGATCTTTTCACTGTTTCTTTGGGTTAAATATGGAAGTGAAAAACAGTACAGCACATCACATTGTAAGCTGTTGAATAAGAGCTAAGACAGGTTCTTAGTCAAAATTCTCAGCTGAACACCTTACTGTAGAATCTCTTATCTCTTCTAGGTGAAGCTCCCCCCCCCCCCATCCTACTTTGCCTCCAAGGAGCTCAAGACAGTGTTTATATACTTTAGACACATGGCACCTGAGAGAATCTGAGGAAAGTAATTTGCAAGCAAGTAACCAGATGATCTCGGCTGTTACTCTGCTGGCTCAGACTAAAGCACTGCACCTCTTTAGTGGGACAAACTGCATCAGTGGAAGGACTAAATCCATCAGAGAGCCTACAAACTGAGTAAACTGATTTAGTTCAGAACAGCACATTCCACTGTCATCTTGTATACTTCTGCTTAGGAACCCAGTCAAGTCACCCACCTGTAAAGTGCATTAGTTTCAAGTCTCCTTAAGAACAACTTGAAACATAAAATCTTCACTTTGGTTGGATGCGATACATAGTCCTTTTAACATTCGACTTAGGTTTCCTATACTGCTGCAAAAATTCTATTAGTGAATCGTTACAGTATGCAGAAAGGATTAAAACTTGTTAGACTAGACCAACAAACCCTTCACTCAAATGCCAAGCAATTAACCAAAGCATGGGAGGATTGCAATGGGGTGTGTTAGTCTTGTATTGTGAGCTGAATCTTGGGCATAGGTCTCAAGTACCATGGTGGAAACAGCTGGCAGCAAAAAGAAAGTGCTATGGAAAAGACAGCTACATAGCACCACCACCTTGTTTAAAGATCAAGTAAGTATTGGCTCACAGCTTGCCTTTCCAGTGTGCTTGGAGGTTATACGGATTGAATAATCTATGTCTTCAGGCACAAATTGGTTGCTATGCATTGAAAGCCTGTTTGAAAAAAATCCAAAATAGAACCATTCTGCCACTTCTGTGGAGGCAGAAGACATTTGACAGAATACAGGAAGGATGCAGTGCATCTAATGACAGCCCCTGACCAATTACTGTTATATAGATTACTTTGTACTAGCCTGAAAGTCATGTAACCCATCTTGTGGCGCACCTAAGATAATGTGGAAAAAAAACCAAAACAAATTAAGTATATTTTTTTATGGAAGCAGGAATCTGCCCTTTTTCTCAAAACAAAATGGTCTGTGGTTCTCATCAGGATCTCTGTATTAATTTTGTGGGAAGACAGTTAAGAAGGAAAAATAATGGCATATGAACACATGGGAATGATCAGGATAAGACATTATTTTGAACTAGAGATGAACATCCAGAAATACACATACTTATCTGCAAATAAAAGCTTGTAACCAAAAGGTAAAAATTAAAATGCATCAAAAGATGGCACTGTGTGCAAGTAAGTCTGAAGTCTTCTTGTTTGATTGCTTAAGATTTAAACTGACATTTCTCAAGCTAAAATGTGAGTCACATTTCAGCAATGCCACCACCCCACGACCTGATGCTTTCCTGTAATATTTTCATACCTAGAAATGCAATGACTTTGTTTGACTTCACATTTTAGAATGTAGGCACAAAAACAACTCAATGAAGGGTCAGCATTTATCTCTGTAAACGGCACTTTAGAAATATTTGTGGAGTTTATTGTGCGGATCAGACGACATACTGCATAAAAGAGGAATATTTATATAAACTACTTCCACAGAAGCCACTATTAGCTGATAAAACCCAAACAGGTATTATCTAGCATTTAACAGCATTTCCTGGTGTCAAAAACCAAAAGTACCTGATTCATTATTTCGGTATTTCTAAACAGCAAAGACTCTAGTATCTTTAGAATCACTCCACTGTAAGAATATGAAATTGACTTTTTCACTGTTATAACTCAAATTAACTAGTGTTCCCCTAAATATGTGACTAATTAGTTTCATTAGAAAATCCCAGGGAAATCCCGTATCTGTTGAATCTAAGTTGGTTTATCTTCCAAGAAGGAGTAATTACATTTACTTTTAGTTTCTCTGTACTTGCAACTACAATAGAATACAGAGTATTTTGATCTGTGTGAAGCACCTGACTGGAATTACTTCTTCACTAGCAGATGTGATGAAAAGGGCTCCACCCTTGACATAGCATGGTCAGCTTATGTTAATATCTCTGTTGAAACATCATGAAGCACATTATGGGAAACTGCTTAAGATAGTGCTCTTTCCAAACAATGTAGCAGAGCTTGAAGACCAAAATAAACTGGGTTGATGAGCAGAATATGCTGGATATTTACAGAAAAATAGATGGACAGGCTTTAAATCATCAGCTTCCTGCAAGTTTTTAGTAAAAGACAGCAAACTACCTTGCACTTACTAAGTCGAACAACCAACAGGGAACAGTAAGAGTTTCAAACACAATTGGAAAGTGCTCTTCTTTGCAAGAATATTCTTTGCAAGTCTCAGCTCATAATCAGCCTTAGCCTTGCAAAGAGTCCTTCTGCAACAGGCCTTCCTCCTGGTATACCCTTTTGTCTACTTGCCCCACTGCCCATTTCCTATGGGGGTTCCTCTTGCATCTAATCCTTCTTGCCACCTCCTTTCACATTCATGGCGGCACTCTCCTTCGCCTCCCTCCCCACCTTGCTGTTTGTTTGTTTGGAAAGCTTCTATGCCGCCCCATTCGCCGAAGCCTCAGAGCGGCTCACAATAATAAATAAATAAGAACAGTATAAAACAATATAATATGAGTTGACCTGGCCTGAAAAATAAAATAAATAAATGATATTAACAATTAAAATAGCATTTGAATATTTGAAAAACAAATAACGACGGCACCAGGCGGACCTCTCTGGGGAGCACATTCCATAGATTGGGCACCACCGCAGAGAAAGCCCTCCTCCGGGTACTTACCCTCCTAATATCCTTCACGGAGGGTTCCCGGAGAAGGGTCTCTCCCGCTGATCTCAAGGGGTGGGTGGGCATACACGGATGTAAGTGCTCCTTCAGGTAACCAGGACCCAAGCCGTTGAGGGCTTTATAGGTCATCAACAACACCTTGAATTGGGCCCGGACTAGCAGTATCATCAAGACTTGTGCCTCCCTTTTGAGTGCCATCCACCCCTCCTGAACTCCCTTGACTTCCAGTACCCTCTCCCAGGAGACTTTCCCAGTCTGGCCTTCAGTTGGCCAAAGCTGGCCCTCTTGAAGTCCCAACTTATAGTACTCGACCTGCTGCTTGTCCCCATTCCCCTATCTCAACGCAAAGGATGGAGTGATCACTCACATCCAGAGCTCCCCTAATCTGTACCCCATCTATCACCTCCTTCCTGTTGGTCAAGACCAAGTCAAGGATATTTCCCCCCTCATCACCTCCTGGATTCTCTGCATGAAAAGAACCTCCCTCTATAGCATCTAGAAAATGATGTGACCTGGCTGTCACCACTGAGTGAGTCTCCCTACTAATATGTGGGAGACTGAAATCTCCCATAACAACTGTGTCCCTCCCCCGAGATATCCTTTGACTCTGATCTGTCAGTACATCATCCAGAGCATGGGTCCTCAAACTACGGCCCGGGGGCCAGATCTGGCCCGCCATGCCCATTTAGACCCACTGCGCACACCCCCGCACCCACACCCACCATCGCCCACCTCACCCTGCGTGCAGGGAGGCAGTGGTTTGCGCACTGAGAAAACGACCTTCAAGTGAGCAAGTCACTGCCTTGTGCGCCCGCCTTGCGGCCTGCACCTGTCTTGCCTCCCCTCACCGCACGTGCCCACCTGCACCTCACCTCACCTTGCCTCGTCGCGTGCCCTGCGCTGCGCACACCGCTGGCACCGCCTTTCCGGCCTGCGCCCAGCACTGGCAGCTTCCAACTGGCCCCCTGATGAAAAAGTTTGAGGACCCCTGGTCCAGGGTCTCAAGCTGACCTGGAGGGCGATAAAATACCCCCACTGTCAGCTCCCTTCCCCTGTCAAAACCCCTAAGTTTCACCCAGACTGCCTCTGCCGAATCCCCATCTGTGCTGCATTCTATCTCACTGCATCCTATCCTATCTCACTGCATCCTATCCCTTCCCTGACGTATAAAGCCACGCCCCCACCTCTTTCCCTTCCTGTCCTTTCTAAAAAGGTGATACCCTTCTATGTTTACATTCCAGTCTTGCCTTTCATCCCACCAAGCTTCTGTGATTTCCCCAAAATGCCCCTAAATGCTTGTACCAACAGTTGTGCCATTTCGGTAGAAGGATGTGACAAACCATGAATGAAAGTGCTTGAATATCAAGTGTGAATAAAATGGGAGCACTTAAAGTAGCTCAGCACTGCTTGCTATTAATAACACTCTATTCTGTGCTAGTCAGAACTCACCTCAAATATTGTAACCAATTCTGGACACTATACTTTAAGAATCAAAGGGCAACAGAGATGATAGAGGACTAGAAACTAAATCCTATAAGGAATGCAGATATGATAGCATTATTCAAGGAGATAAAAGGGTGTCACACAGAAGAAAGCCATGACCTGTTCATCCAAGGCTGTAGGACATGGAATAACAGGCATAAAATGCACGAATAAAGGATTTGGTTGAACAGCAGGGTAACAGTCGTAATGGTCAGAGCAGTCAGACAATGGGGCCAACCTTTTAGGTAAGGAGTTGGTGGATTCTCCAGCACTGGAGGTATTCAAGCAGAGATTGTAACAGGTGAATATTTTAAAATGGATACCTGCACTGAGCAGGTTGGATTTATTTCTTAATTTAAAACTTGTATATGCTGTCCCTTATCCATGGCATCTTAGGACAGCTTACAATCATTAAAATCAGAAAACAATAGAACAGTGCATACCAATATAATAAATAACATATAACCAGTAAAAATAAATTAAAAGTGATTGATAAATAATTAAAATATTAAATTAAAAAAAAACAATTAAACAAAAAGGTTTGGACCTGGCACTGAAAAGAATATAAGCTCAGCGCCAGGCAAACCTCTCCAGGGAGCGCATTCCACAATCTGGGCACCACCGCAGAGAAGGCCCTACTCGGAGTAGATGCCTTTTTGACCTCCTTCAGGGAGGGTTCCCAGAGCAGGGCCTCTCCCGCCGATCTTAAGGGTTGTGAAGGTGTATAAGGAAGGAGACGTTCCTTCAGGTATCCTGGTCCCAACCTGTTCAGGGCTTTATAGGTCAAAACCAGCACCTTGAATTGGGCCTGGACTTCAAGGGAGCCAAGGTTCCATTTGGATGCCAGGAAGCACTTCCTGACAGTCAGGACCCCGAGGGTGTGGAATGGGCTTCCATGAGAGGTCGTTGAGGCCCCATCAGTGTGGGTGTTCAAGGATAGGCTGGACGTCCACATGGTTGGCATGTTGTGAGCAGAGCCGGCTGGTGCCGGAGGTCAAGCTAGATGGCCCGGGAGACCCCTTCTGACTCGCTCTGTTTTCTATGTTTCTATGTTTCAACTGGAAGTCAGTGGAGCTGGTAGAGGACTGGAGTTATGTGAGAATAACGACTGGTCCTCGTCAGCAGCCTGGCCATTCTATTCTGTATTCTGGACCGTTTTAGGATTTAATGACCTAAATGGCTTGTTCCAATTGTATATATCCATTATTCTGTGTACATTTTCTACGACAGATTCAGAACTTTCAATCACACCTAATTATCCTAAAATGTTTAGAAAACATTTTCTAAACTAAAGCTCTGTCGCAATATGGATTTAGCAAAATCCTGCTGACATATCACACAACCCATACTCAAAACAGCAATTTTTAAGTCTGCTTATTAAAGTTAAAGCCATACTAACTACATATTCAATTATTGTTTGGCAAAGGGGGTGGAACCTAGTTTTCAGGCACAGCACACACTTGGTACCCAGAAGGTCCAAGGTTTAATTGCTGTTTCCACTTAAAAGGATTGGGTAGCAAGTGATGGGGTCTGAAGAGCTACCATCAGTTGCACACTGTACTAGGCTGATAAATAGTCTGACATGGTACCAGGTAGCTCCGTGTTCTCCAGGATGGGTCATCTATTCATATAGTTTCAAGTTTCTGAGAATGTCAGAGTTTAAAATTAATTTTCCAGCATGTGTATCAGTGAAAGCAAGTTTGGGAGTGCATAGCCAACACCTGCTGAAATCTTATAAGGGGAAAAGGAGGAAAAAGAGAAGATGGTCAAGATTAGCCTGTACTGCTTCTCTTTCCTATGATTAAGAAAATAAAATTATGCACATATTGGCACATTTTGTAGTTATGCACTTTTAATGTGCACAATTTATTCAGGTTACAGAATTCAGCCTTGAAAAACCCCAGAGTCACAGTCACCTTAGTGTCACAGTCACCTTAGAATTTCTAGTTTGTTTATTAGGTGATGCAGAGGACACACATCCATTATTCCACAACAAATAGGCACTGCTACATCATAAATAACATGCCACATTCTGTGCCACAGTTTTATGGCAAAATGAGCCACTGCAGTGCTCTAATACCTCACCTTTCAAACTGACTTTCTACTGTCCGTTGCCAGCAGTGGCACATATTAGAACACACTCCAAGTACTGTTCGAAGACCCCAGTAATATTGGGTTAGATACCACATACAGGAAGAACTAAAAGTGGGCACTAATAAATAATGGAAACACCAAGTATCATTATTTAGTCCCAAGACTTATTTTTAAAATTTGAAAATATTTGGTCAGAAGGAGTTATCTAAAGTGGGCAGCAAAAGCACAGGCAGCTATGTTAATTAAAAATGTAGAAGTCACATATATAAAAACTGATAAGGAATGAATACAGGATAACTTTAGTTCAACTAAATCCTTGCTAGTGTAGTATTACTGGTACATTACAAAGAGTAATACAATTACCCTCTTGCAGGGACAAAGTAAAATGGGCTGTGGAGGTAAATTCTCTACCCTAGAGGAGCTACATTTATGGCTTTCTCACCAAAATGTCCACTCCTTCTGAACTCATCACTACCACACCAATACACTGCTCTGTGCTGATTGTCTCACACTTGGCATGCTTGTTGAAGATGGATCACTAGTTCGTGAGGAATGCAGAAGGAATACAACAGGGTATATTGGGTATCCCTAAAGGGCCACATAAGAGTCCCTTAACCTCATGGTTGACACCCCTACATGAACAGATGCCTGATATAGAGGGGAAACAACTCAGAATAACAATTGCTAGTCAAAGATTATCATTTAGCTGAGTGAACTGCATTGCACACATTCTCTTTCATTTTAATCAGTTATTTTATTTTCTCCCTTGGATGCCTTTTATTTCACCAACTTCAATGATCATATCAGTTCACAATGTCTTAACGATAAAGTAATTTACATGCACAAATATTCCAATCACATTTCAATCTTGAGAGGGGTTAGTGGTCATTATTGTTCTATTCTAAGTTAGAAGCATGCTACTTAGAAGCAGCGCTTGCGGAACCAGGTTGATTAACCTGTGAAAAGCACCAGCAATCAATAGAGCTCAGCCACCATAACCTGTACTACTCTTGAAAAAGTGTCAATACACTATATTGATCAAGAATTAAACAGCAGATTGGGTTGTATTGGAAAACCAAATTTTGAATACTGATCAGTTCACACATCCTCATCTAAACATACATGCACCTTGCAGCCAAGGTCCCCATAATTTCAGACTCTATTAGACGTGGGAATGCATTCCAAAGCTTCCTTGTTATGATCACTGACAGAGCCATTGGTTAGAGTCAAAACCAAATGTTCAGCTCTACTTAGCTATGTAGCTTGTCCTATAATCCTAAGGGTTACAACTGAACTGAGTGAGGAAATGCCATCATGAAACTTGTCTGGAGGCCTCTGAAAAATTATCATCCACCTCTGTTCCCTTCACAGTCACATCAAACAGAGCTCCAAGCCAGTGGAACAAGTACCAGTTCTCCAAGCAAGAGCCCTACTGGACTTGGGGTCAAAGGATGCTAAAGGCAAGGAAGAATGCCCAAGCTATACATGACCCCAAAATATTCCTTATTTTCTCAGACAGGCAAATAGTTTGCACTGCTAGACTAATTAGAGCCATTTATAACCACACTCAAATTAACAAGAACAACTACAAGTAGAAAGCTAGCTGGCTTGTACTATGTATGTAATTGCTTGTGGCTACAATGTAGGTGACAAGGGACAGATAATCTCTGCTGCCATTTAATTTTTAAAAAGTGATCATTATGAAGGAAACTTAAGACCTTTCCCTTCAGACTTAGTGAAGCAATCTATCTAGAAGCTGTGAAAGTGAGAGAGGAGCTCAAGCAATGCGGCACTAACTGCTCTTCAAGCCCTCACCCAGTTTGTCTGTGGAAGTGATAATATCGGCTGGAACGGAAGAGTCCAGATCAGCATCCAAGATGCCCAGTGGGTCGAGCTGTGCTACATGATGCCCTCGAATCTATGAAATGGGCCAGGGATGAAAAGGAAAATGGATACCAAAAGAGGGATGAGGGGAGAGGGGTGGAAAGGAAAAGGGTATAAAAATTAAAATTACATTAGAATTAATTTGCAGAGTAATTCTCACCGACGTTTGGAGAATCAGTTACTGCCGAATCATCAAAATTTACACAACTAATGCCGAGAGGATCAAGCTTGGCAATGTGGTGACCCCTGACCTAGAAAAACAACAAAATTAGTCACAAAGTTGCTTCAAGATCATCTTTCACATTGCAGTCTTTCTGCAAGGCCATGGAATAAAATTTATATTGACCAAATTTAAATACTGAATTCATTTTACACCACAGACATTAACAACTTTTTAAACACAATAGAATAAAATACATGAGAGTACAAGCTCTTGGGAGTCATCATAAACATATTGATTTCAAAAGTGGCAAGGACACAAACAAAGAGCATTTTGGTGGCTCATATATCCATTCACAGGTAGCTACTTTTTGTACACGTATTGCCAGAAGACCAACTATATGGAGAAGAATATTGTTCTATTTAAGTTTGAGCTCAGACTCCTTTGTGGGAGATGGGTTTTTTGTGTTTCATTGATTCAGATGTTTGGGATTACATCCAGAGATGACTGGGTTTTATTCTATATATTAGATGAGAATCTGAATTACAAACTCATGGAATAAAATCTTGCATGAAGAACTGGCATTTGTTTGTTCAGATGTACAAGTTCCCTCATTCCAGTATGGGTTAGACATACCTAGTTAAGATACGATGATGATCTATCTGGAAGTATCTGTTGAGATAAACATTACAGTATTTTTTCTATTTCCCTGAATGTTTGCATTATTAGTTTAAAAACCTCTGTTAGTGCAAGCACCAATAGAGTAAATTATTTTTAATTTTTCATCTTCCTTTGAAACAACAAGCTTCCTTCTTGGTAAGTTCTTCCTTTTGCTTGTATCTTTAATTTTGGCCATATCAAGTTGTTTGTTGAACATGAATCTTGAGATACAGAAAAGCCAAAATAAAGGACTGTATTAGGGGAAAGTTGCCTCAAAGGGTAAAACCCCCTGAAACACAAACTAATTTTTAAACACTTTTTTTTTACCAACATATTCTTTTTAGGCATGTCAGTAAGCATGCAGTAAGTATACTGGACCTGAATACTATAGGTGTTAAAGAAAAAGTTTTACCAAGTATATAATACAATAGCTATTATATAGCCTATAATTATTTGTTGCAAGACGTTCTTCATAAACGACAACAACCTTCAGATAAGCCTCTTAGAGAAGAGTCTGTCAAAGGTCTTTTGACCTAGTTCCAGTATATTGCAGATCTCGAGTCTCCAGTCTGAGAGCAGTGTTACCTGGATGCTGCAGTTGTACACAAGTGCCTTTTACTATATAAAACAACTTTTTTTCCTGAAAACTGGCCAAGTGGGTATTTAATTTGTCAAGCTGATACTTGTGGTGTATATTTTTGCAAAACAATATAATTTCAGTTTTGGACAAATGCTATATTGACCAGGTTGGCTAAATTTGTGTTGCTACTGCAACAAGTGTTTTTTGAACACTGCCTAAAGCTAAAACACTGGGATTTTTCTTAAAATGCTTGAAATTCAAGTAACTTAAATATTAATGAAGACTTCTTACAGGCAGCAAATTACATCAATAACGGTCCATAAACACAAAGAGGTTCAAATGGTTCATATGCATTACTGAGTTCTAATTACAGAAGAAACCTATAAGGTAAATTGGGATTATCATACCCAATATTGCATATGGGAGTGGGAATGAAGGCTCTCCCACACTAGAGTCATTCAAAAAGAAACTGGCCAGTCATCTGGGTGGGATGGTGTAACTTGGTGTCCTGCAAGGGCAGGGGATTGGACCCTATGGCCTTCATGGCCCCTTCCAACTCTATTATTCTATGAGCCTTACACATTTCATTTGCTTTTAAAAACATTAGACAGTTGATTAATATGCCTGATGAGCCTTTCAGGAGAAATGGAATGGGCTTCTAAAGGAGGTGGTTGAAGCTCCATCAGTGAGGGTGTTCAAGGATAGGCTGGAAATTCACACGGTAGGAATGTAATGAACAGAACAGGCTGAAGCCAGGGTCAGACTAGATGGTCTAGGAGACCCCTTCTGACTCATTCTGTTTCTGTTTCTAAATACTTGCAAAATGCTGAGTGCAGTAAGATGTTGACATAACGATTAAGATTTAAAGTCTATCTTATTCCAAATGTTCTAAGATGCTTAGAAACAATTTAGAATTCTCTCCCATTCTCAGCATTCCATAAACTACCACCAAAAAACTGGTATTCTTTTGCAGCTAAAAACTCAGCAGCTGGCTGTTGCACATCAACTTTCAGCAGTTACTGGTTTTATAGTCACTGTAGGGGGGCCACTCTTGCTTCAGTAGCCACAGGCTAACTAATTTATGTGATAGAATTCTCCTTGAAAATAAAGGAAACAGACTTGGAGTGGTCATTAGTTCTCAGGCTGTTGGGCGAGTGCAGAAATGTCTTTCTTCCCACTTCTGAGATCATATACCAACTATGGCTTATCATAAAGAATCCTACTGGCTCTTTATACCCTTGTCTCCATTTCTGCCTAGTTAATTACATAGTATTTTCTAGCTGTCTAGTTTAAGTGTTGGTATTTAGGCACTCTGCCCATTCACCCGTGTACTGAGGCTTGGGCTGGAGCTACACCAAGCTTTTATTGCTGTACTGTATCAACTATGTCATGCCTGTGGCACATGACACTGCTTGCTTTCTATCTCTATGTTGTCATCCCTCTCCTGGAGCGGCTTTGCTCATGACTGGCTTTGTTCTTACTCTTCTCCTCCTTGCACTTCAGCTGTGCTGTATACCATCATGTATGTGCTCACCTGGCACTGTTCTTGCCTTCTTTCTGAGGTGCGGGGTGGAAGAGGAAGCTTCTTATCAGGGCTCAGCCGCAACTCAGAGATCCTTCCAGTTTTACCCCTGCCTCCCTCACCCCGCAATGCCTGCCTCTGACCCTCAAATGCCCCTCCCCTCTCTTTGGGACAATGATAAAGTCTCTCTCCAAGCCTTTCCGACTGCTTTGTCTTCTTGCTCAAGAAACAACCAGCTGAAATGCATGTTTACTTAGATGTAAATGATATTATCTTCAATTGCTTTATTCACAAATAAATTAGAGGCTTCCGTGTCGCTAACTGGTGGGAAGTGCAGCACAGGGGACTGCAGCTGGGCTCACTGGTTTCATCCCGAGAAGCTGGGAGGGCGGGAACAAGCAGCAGCATCCTTTCTCTTTCCCCATGATTTTGCACCGGGGGGGGGGGGGGGGAGCAGAAGGAGCTATCATTTTTTGTTCTTTAAAAAAACAAAACAAAACAGTGCTTTGTTCTCCTGCTTTCACACCTGCACACATCTGAGTGAGGTAAAAACACACACCAAAGCCAAAGAACTGCAAATGGCCATTGCCCTGCACACATGCCCTTTCCAACTGCTCTTCCAGTGCTCAAATGGCAGGCGCCAAGCTATTCACACCCACTTACACCGCCAGGGAGCATGTATGTGATGCAGGAGAACTGCACAAAAACTGTGTGCACCACAAGGAGAAATGTGGGGTGTGGATGCAGCAGCACCATGATGAGAACTTCATGAGGTTAGGGGTAGATCTGGCCCTAGCGATGGCTCTCAGTTTATCATACACAACTCATTTTGACCTATGAAGTGACGTAACAGCAAATATGAAGTCTAGGCTATTCACTCATAGATGCTGGAATTTGCTTCCCTTAAGTCATATCAATTCCGAAATCTTGATCTGTTGATATAGACTTATTTTGAAGCAGAAAACTAAGTCAGGATCTCTCTCTAGACTTGCAATGGAAAAAAATGAATGTTACATGCTCACATTTGTCAAGAGAAGAAAAGTAGAATAACCTCCTTACCTGATATGCCCTAATAAGAGACTGGACTGCAAGATGATCTTCCACCAGTTTATCTACATTTGGCTGTGCTTGAACCAGAGACTGTGCGTGGGTCAGTGTTGATAGGCTGGTAGTTAATGGAGGGGGGCTTTGGTAAGCAGTACCTGGAGCGGCTCCAGCATTGGCATTGCGAAAGAATATGTCCCATGACTAAAGGAAAAAAAGTTCATTTTAGGGGATAACATCTTCAAACAGTTTAACATGCACCAAGCTGACTGAGTTTTTAGCCCCAAAGTCAATGTATCACATTCAGGCAAAACAGTCCATCAGTTTTTAAAATGATGGGTTGTTGTTACATGCGAATAAATATTTGACACTGTCTGAACTGTTGCCACTTAGGAAACACTAAGTCTCCCACATACAGTTTATTCAGCGTTTAATTAAATCTCACTTTATTAGAGACTCACATCTAAACTATAATGTTAGCCACCTTAATCCTGAAGTTAACTTTATCACATGCATCCACAAGAAAAAGTTTGAGAGCAGTTTCAAAAGGCTCCTCAGAGCAGTTTAATTGCATGGAAAATGTTAGACCCAGACTTTTGGCTCGGTGCACTAGCATATTTTGAATGTTGACAGTGTTGTGGGTGCTCTCACAAAATGGCTGTGAGAGCTCTTATGGAGGCTTGCCAGTTGTAAATGGCTGCTGTTGTGGCTGTGGTGAGTCACAAAACACTCAAAGGCAAACCGGTGATAATAAAGAAAAGGTACTTGCCCAAGAAAAGTTACTTGCCCAAGAAACTAATTACAAGAGAGAGATGAGGATCTTTTGTACCTAAATAAAGTTGGTTCTAGAGGGCAACACTTTGGTTTTCAGCAAGCTGGCCTTCCAGCTATTTTTCTAAATTAGACAAAATGTTATGAAATAAAATTCAGGAAGGGTACAGAGCCCGACAGGAGCCATTAGAGGTTAGCGATCCACAATTTCATGTGCTGTCCTACCCATTCTGTTGTATGTTGTGAATCTGACCTCGTGAGTAAATGGTCAATGGCAATCAGTACCTTTAAAATGTGGCATAGAAATTCATCAAGGATCAGAGTGCTGGCTATTGCCGCCTATTTTCATGACCTAAAAATCCAGATGGACTTAATTCACTGTGAAGTGTGTGTTGGGGCAATTAGAAACCTGTATCATTACCCCATTACGCAAACTTGCAGCCAGAACCAGCTCCACCCTTCTTCCACCCAACCCTCTCTTATCAGGCAAGCAGCCTGAATGTGCAAAAACTAATCTCCTGTTTTGCTTCTGAACTGATAGGCACAGGGATCATCCTGCATGAGAGTCACAAAGGATGCTAGTCTTAAGTACAGCATAAAGAACTGGTTACATTCATAGTCATTCACGCATCTCAGGAAACAAAAAGGTGTTGATAACAAAGCACTATATGACTAGTTCTATGGATCCTGTGGAGAGCTGGATGAGCTTCCTGAACAGGCCTTGCCAGCCCAGATAGGAAATCTTTCTTGAAATCAGGACAAGTTTCATGAGCAGTCTGTGATGACACAAGGGCCTGCTATTGAAGGGGAAATGTATAAACTTCCACTCACCTCAAGACCCAGACTCATGCGAAGTAACTCACTGGTTTCTGGCTACAGGCATTTTTAAAAACAACAACAACTGACTTCTGGCAGCTTTGGCAGGGATAGATTGTACTTCATTTGCCAAGCTCCAAGAGGAGGTCTCAGAACAGTCATAATGTAATATCTTTAGCCTCTATTCTGACATGTTTCTTAACAGACAAGCATGAAATGCAGTATCTGGTAAGTAATGTTTGTTTACTTCTGTTCATGATCCACAGCACAAAGAGTATATAGTTCTCCAACATCTCTCCAATAACCTCCTTGTTAGTCCCCTAACAATTTGCCTTCCTTGATTTAAAGGACAAGCATCAATAAATGCCAATCAGTTATTTTAGCAATAAGTAGTTCTTTTATACTGCCTGCATTGCATCCTTGGAATGCCAACCAGTGTGGAGCAACCCACTGCGACAAGTTTGCTCTCCATTTTGAGGACAAAATTGCTCAGATCTGCTTTGACTTGGATGCTGCAGTTACTGCAGTACTGCCTTTGGAGGTGCCAGTGCACCATCCAGTTCATCGTTGCTGGGTGAGTTTCTGTCTTTGCAGCCCAATGATGCGGACACGTTGCTTAATCAAGTCCATAAATACCTCCCCAAGAGGAGGTGAGCGTTATGCCTAAGAATGCCAGCTGCCTTAAAAATGCCCATGGTTACATCACTCCTGAAACAAACAAACAAACAAACCAAAAGCCAATCTAGATCCGGGTGACATAATTATAGACCAATAGTCAATGTCCCCTTCCTGGACAGGTGATCAAACAGGTGATTGCCAGGCAACTTCAGGACTTCTTGGAGGAAATGGATTATCTTGACTCATTTCAATCAGGTTTCGGGCCTGGTTTTGGGACCAAGACTACCTTGGTTGCCCTGTGGGATAATCTTTGCCAGGAAAGAGACGGGGGAGTACAATCCAGTGGATTCTTCTGGACCTCCCAGCAGCTTTTGATACACTGACTATGATATCCTTCTGGAGTGGCTTGCTGGGTTGGGCTGATTTACCCACTGTGCTCCTACCTGGATGAAGGTAGTCTTACCACAGTCATTCATGCACTGGCAGCCTCTAGACCGGACCACTGCAAGGCACTATACTTGTTACTTCCCTTGAAAGGTGGTCTGGACTCTTCAAAGGATCCAGAAGAAGGGCAGTGTGGCGGCTGATGAGGACCAGTTCTTATGAACACATTACACCTGTCCTCCATCGGCTGCAATGACTCCTTGTTCCTGTCTGGGCCAATTCAAGGTTTTTAACTATGACATGCAAAGCCCTAAATGGCTTGGGACCACTGTATCTTATGAAGCACCTGTTGTCTGCCTGTTGTCTAAGATCTTTGACTGGGCCCTCCTACAAGTTCCTCTCTTCAGGGAGGTTAAGGGTGGAAGCCGCGAGGAGGAGGGCCTTTTCTGTGGTGGCACTCCACCACCGGAGATTTGCCAGGTGCCTGTCTTATTGCGTTTCAAGCGCCTGGCAAAAACTTACCTTTTCCAGAGCAGATTTGGCACCAAGCAGACTATTTATATCAGTGCATGGCTTTTTAATTATATTAATGTATGTTTTATTTTAGTTGATTATTTTATTGTGCTTTTATTATAATTTATTGTATTACTATTATTTGTTGATTTTATATTGTAACAGCCACCCTGAGAGCATGTTGCTAATGGATGGCTTTTAAACAAATTTAAGAATAAAATATAGCAATATGAAAGCTGCAGCCAAGCTTACATTATTCAACCTAGTACAGACTTTTCCAGCATGATGGTTTCATGGTCCCAGCAGTGCTTAAACAGTAGGTTTCTAAAGCAAGCAGAATGCCATGTCACAGAAAATAACGTTCAGTCACTACAGTGACATTTGAAGGATAAGAGATCCAGATCACTTATTTAATTCTATACTGTCCAACAGCAGAAGCTCTCTGGGTGGTTCATGACAGAATATTTAAAAAGCAGTATAAAATATACCAATTAAAACATATTAAAACATCATTAAAAATACCAATACAAGATTTAAAACAATATAAAACCAAAAAATAAAACCCTGAGAAAATCCTGTTAAACCTTGTTTAACAACCAGCAGGCCCAGTAACTAATTAAACGCCCTTCAGTAGAGAATGGTCTTTACCAGGCAGCAAAAAGATAGTAAAGTTGGTGTCAGGAGGGTCTCAGTGGGACACTCGTTCCATAACTGGGGGACCACCACTGAAAAGGCTCTTCTCCTTGTTGCCACCATCTGAGCCTCCCTCAGAAGTGGCAATCAGAGAAAGGTCCCACACTGATAATAGTATCTGGGAAGATAAAGGTCAGGAGAGGCATTCCATCAGGTATCATGGTCCCAAGCCATGTAGGGCTTTATAGGTCAAAAACAGTACCTTGAATTGGGCCCAGAAGTATATAGGTAGCCAGTGCAAGCAGGCCAGAAGTAGTCTCATGTGATCAGGCCATCTGATCCCTTTTATTACTCTGGCTGTCACATTGTACACAAGCTGCAGCTTCTGAACAGTATCCAAGGGCAGCTCCATCAGATAGCAGACAGTTTCTGTCCAGGTAGGGGTTCAGCTAGAAGGCACTCTAAGCCATTGAAGCCACCTGGGCATCAAGTGACGAAGACGGCTCAGGGCGCAGCCTCAAGCTAAGAACTTGCTCCTTCAAGGAGAGTACAACCCCATCTAGAACAGGTTATTCCTGCTATCTTGACTTTGTATAGTTCTGGACTGTCCCATATTATTCAAACGTATGATTGATATGGCAATTCAAAAGCACTTCTGCTGTTAAGGGACGTTATCTGGTATTTAAAAATATACCAGAGCAAATGAAAGTCAGTACATGACCTTTGCTCTATTTAATTCAAGTATGAGCACGGTGACATTTTCCAACTCACACAACTGTTAAATGATCACCACTCTAAAAGTTTAGATAAGGTTTTTAGCCTTTCCAGACTATTAAAACAATGTTGAAATGTAGCTTTCATACTAAGCTCATCCCAACACAGAAGCACAGTATTTCTTGAGACTGTCTAATAAATTGAACTGACAATAATGTGCATCCCTTTCCTTTTCATGTCATTCCATGGACAAAGGAGGTTACCAAGATGTTTGCAAAACAGAATAAATATGATACAGAAGTTTTCCCTAGACATTAGCTGGCTTTCAAGAACAAAAGGCACATACAATTTGCAAAAACTCTTTGGCCTGTTTGGTCAAGATGGATCTTGTATACCCCCGTAGTAATAAAAATTACTATTAAAAGTATAGCTGCTAAGTACTGCTGAATCAAGCAAAAGCAGGGGTTACTGTGCAGATACACATTTCTTGAGAGTATCTCCATATAGTGAATGGGAAGGTCCACAGTGTCAATGTTCTATTTTTCTTCCTGGAACTTCTTCAGCAAATGGATTTAGAAAGCAATTATGACTGAATTCCATGCAAATTTGACCATGCCTGAGAAGCCGTAAGAAAGTCCTCTAGTTACAAGTGACTGACCACAATGCCAATAACATTTATGATTAATGGGTCCAGAATAGTCAATAACCGTATGCTGCAGTGCTAATTTTTAAAAGACCCAACTCTTTAACTACACTACAAAGTTTCTTCTGCCAAAGGAGACAAACACCACTGATGGTTTGTAATTATAACCTGTTCATGGGGTTTGTACCAACCCCGATAAGAAGAGATGGCAAGTCAGTCACTTGTTTCACAATCCTTTGTGTGTGCATGTGCCCTGTTCAGAAATCCCTTTGAATTCAATGGGGCTTGCTTCCAGGCAATGGTGCATTGGACTTCAGTTTAGGGAGGTAATTCTATAACCCTTCAGACAGCTGATACAGGGAGGGACCATAAAATAATTCAGATTCCCAGCACTGAGGTCAGAGATAGCATTTTGACCTTGGAACTGTGAATCAGAGCTCTGACTGAAATTTGGGAAAGTGGCTTTAAAGAAAGGGACATGTGGGTTGGTGGGAAAGGGAAGAGATTAGAGAGACCAAGCTATCCTCTCCTTCCCCATGTATCCACCTCTGAGACAGAAAATCCCATCCAGCAGAAAAGGCAGGTTGGGGAGGTAAAAATAACTTCTGCTACTCTTGCTCTTTGCAGGATGACCATAGGCCTCTGAGTTTGGGGGTTTACTCCCAGAGCTTTAGGATCATGCCCTTAGCCAACTTTGAATTTGGATAGTATGACACTACCTGAAACTTTGCAAACAAGGCCTGTAAAACTCTTGCTTGAGGTTGCACTAAAAAAATGAATACTAATAAATACGTATATATAGTGATCAAGGCTTTACCAAGATTGTTTTTTATGCTAATTTTTTCTTTCAGGACTGATAGTTGAAAAAAACTGGTAAATGAGAGCTTATTTGTAAATGAGAGATAAGGATATTAGTGGGTATATAAGATTATATATTAAAATTATTTGGGGTAGGAAAACAAGAGATTTTCAATGTTAATTGAAAATACGGGGTTTCAGCTGTGGTATGATGCAAAGCATCCCATAAAGCAAGGAGGAAGGGTGCTGTTGTCCAGGAACACCACCATTCTTCACCTGGTGGTGAAGAATGCAGAGGAGAGGGCACAGGGCAGGGATGCATTAGGAAATAAAGGGCAGTAGTCCAAACAGTACATTTTTGTCTGCGCAGTTATGGTAAGTGCTACTGGACAATGCTTATGTTCATCAGCAAACACTTGTCTGTTTTTCATTTGCATCCACATGGAAGAAAATAGTTCAAGGTATTTAATAAAGATAAATTACTTTATCTTACAGCAACATCTGAAAGGTACAGACCCAACACTGTAGCACACGCCAGACTAAGCAACATTCTTGGCATTAACTGAAGAATGATAGTCTTGTTAGTACCAGAAATATTTGAATATTAATGTTGGGAGTTCAGATACAACCTTCAAGAACAAACACCATTTCCCTTGTGCACAATGCTTTAAATGAAATTTGCAATTAAGAACAGTGCACCACATTATGTACTGTTGCTAAGGTTTTCTGTAGCAATCATGCCAGAAGCAAAGCACAAGCACTGGTTTCCCAGACACAGTCACCTCCATGTTTACAATACACATGCATTCTGTTCATGTTTTACATGCTTGTGTACCACTCTTGTTAGAGTTTCCTGCATCGGTGGTAACGTTTAGTGCTGCCTTAAGAGCTTTAGTTTACTGTGGTTACCTTATTGTACAACGTGGTGTACTTTTAAGAGTTTGGCTGGACAGTTATCAAAAGTGATGTAAATTATAGACGCGTTTTGATTTGTTCTGAGCTATCTTCAAGCCTTGTGTAATATTCACCATCTCACTTCCAAAGTCTAGATATTTAATTAATTTATATCCTGCCTTTTCATTAAAATAGTACTCGAATACCATTAAAGTTGATTGAGCACTTGTCCTTGAACTATTTCAAAATTGGCCTTGGACCAAACCTACATTTTACTGAACAACGCTATGTCACTGCCTTGGTAACTCTGTCCAGCTCTAGCTAGTTCCAACAGTGAGCCAGCAGATCTAGTTTTTATGCCAGCATTCTCTGACCTTCAAACCAATCACCTGGCTTTCATTCCAACTTATCTTAAGAGTTGGGGACGACTTTCATGCAGAAAGATTCAGAGGTCCTATACAGTGTTGCAATCTGAGCTGTGAAATCACAGTAGCTCAAAGTTCAGAACACACAAAAATGACCAGGACAGTCTGATTGTGCTGAAATAGGCCATGCTCTGTGTCAAACAGATACTTTCCCATGGATATGTTTAACTGACAGAACTCAAGTCCAAGGCACAGTATTTTTCTTACACGGTGCTAGCAGAAATGGGGCCTGTATTTCTTAGCTTGCATGCAAACCACCAAAAAACCTGGACTGGCTATGAGTGTGACTTGCAGTTTAGCCTCTCTAATACGCTCATGGAGTACAGAAACAGTTACTTCAAACAGTTTAAGTAATCACCTCAATGGTGTGTTTTGCGCTAGACCTTGAGTATGGTTTGTATTTACAAAATATACACAGGACCAATCTTAATGCCTTTCTCCTATCTAGGAGGAGACCCATCTCTATTACTTTCAAAGGAAAACAGCAGTGTAGCGATTTTTTAAGTAGAAAATGCAAGGAAAGCAGCTCATCCTTCTTTGTATCTGGGACCGAAGCCATGAAGATAATTCCTCAGCATGAAAGGTAGCCATTAACTTGTTAACTTCATTCCAGCGCTGACTTTCTCATCAGTGTTGTTCTTTGTCAGACAAATGCCTTTAGTTTCCTCAGAATTCATAGGGATTCCAAGATCATCTTCAAGCTTGAGTCCCTGGTCTGAGAAACTGCACTTACCTGAAAAGTGAAGGGACTAAGACATGAGCGCCAAAATGCGGAAGACAACACTTTGCTCTAGGGACGCTGCTCCTTACCTTATGTACACTTTTGGGATTTTCCAGCCAAGCATAGTACATTTCCTCCACATAGTTTGAACTAGTCCCACTCAAAAATGGCTCAGCAGCAACAGGCGCACTGTAGCACCTGATTTGTTGAAACGTCCTTGGTGCTGCTGGCTTGTTTTGAGAAATTGTCTTAACAGTCTGTGAGGCTGTTAATGGCCTCAATTTAGTAGCACAAGTCCTTAAATGAAACATCTTTGTTCTGTAGTGACAGGTTCCTGTTGAGAGAAGAAGGAATGATTTAGCACCTGATGAAAAGATGAACATGTTGCAAACATAATAAAATGTTTCTGACTTCACTATCAGTTTCAATATCTGTACTAAAGTTTCATAGTTGTTACTTCAATGTTCACTTTATACACCAGTATCAAAGTGAAGCAAACTACTTGTTGCAGGTGGAGTAAAAAGGCCAGTTACAGTGATAGCTCTTTTTGTAAAAAAAAAACTCTGGAAGATCTATTGAAGGCCAGTATATCAATCTTTTAGATCAATAGCTAAGATATAGCATAGATATTTTGATGAATGTAAATCTCTGTTGCATTTCAATAGTGAATCGAAGCACTGATCGACTGATTGGCGGAAAGAAAGGAAGATGCTGGTGAGTGACCATCCCTGCTATCTTTTAATTGAAAATAGCAGGTTCTAAAGGTTGGTGAAAATCTTCTATGCAGAAAACATACACTGTATTTTCCACAGGCTGCTGACCTCCCTTCATCCAATTTTTACTACAATAATCAATCCAGATTTTCCCCTCAAAATATTATGAATCTATTTCTTCTTGGATTGCTTAACTCTCCAACAGGCAGAAGGAGCATAGAGAGCAACTTGGCTGTGTGAATGAGATCACTGGATAAAAAAATAATAATGCTGAGTTGTTGGGACATGTGAACGAGGCCTATGTCATAACTTGGGAGATCCAGTTACAGCTATGGGAGTCCAAGTGCACTAAAAAGTTTGATTAAAAGAATATCCAGGAATGGTGAGGTCTGGCATAGACAGGACTGCATTTCACTAGTTACTTCTTTAAAACCCCAGCTCTTCTCTTGATCCTGCATTTTCTAGTGGTCAGTTTTCTAAAAGATAGAAAGCGTTAAACTAACCCAAGTTGCACACACATTAATTCTGATTTTTTCCCTTAAGAATTGCACTTTGCTGGTCCCAGAGTGGATTAACACTAATAGCTTATAAGTCAGCAAGCAACTTTCTTAGGTCACATAATGCAAGGCAATTTTTATTTAGTTATTTTAAAATTTATACCATCAGCCAATGAGATATTTAAAGAATGTCATCATGAATCAAGCTATTTTATACAGTAAACTAGTGCATGAATTAGTGAATATAGTGCATTCTCTTAAGTTTATAGACTGAAAAACTTGGTGCTAAGAGGTTGTTAATTCTTACATACAATACTGGAAGAACATCAGGACCAAGCAAGTAATATGCAGACTCCAAACTAAAATTCTTACTTCCTATACAATTGTAGTCTGGATTCTTTATCAATCTAATATGAAGCTGAGGAATGAGAAAATACTGTACAGCATGTTGTTACTGGAAGCCTTACCAGATAAAACAACCCACCTCCTCAATTATACAGACCTATTAGAGAGACTTTACCCATTTTTCCATTCCTAGTTAGGAAGCATTGGAAAACTTTATTACCAGTGCTTCCTCCCTCCTTTAAAATCAATTATAACTGTATAATTCACCCGAATTAATTATACTCATGCCCTAGTTTAGTTTAGCAACAGTAGAGCTTCCTAATCACTTTCTGCTGTATATTTAAGTCATTTCACACAGCTATGAGCGCCCAGGTAATGGAACATAATGGTTAGAAGAGGATCAAGAATATTATTTTAAACAGCATTATGGTGAAATATCGTTTCTCTATTACACATGCTTCAACAGTTCCTGTGATGACTCAGAATGAAGGGGAACAAAGACATGAGGAATCTGCTGACTACTCTTGAAAATGCCTGCCTCTTTCCTAATCTTAAATAAATAAATAAACTTTATTTGAAAGAAGGTAGGTTTTAGGCAAAGGAATAGTGGGAGATGTTATTAAAAAACAAACAAACAAACAAACAAACCTGTGTTTGGGGACAAAGTTTAGATTCTGAGTTGAATCTTAGGAAGGGTGTGAATTTTGGGATTAAAAGAGAAAGGATGGTGCATGTGCTGATAGGGTGGAGGAATACATCTGGGGTGAAAGATTAAGGCCTTTTTCTTTGTAAGAAGGTACCAGCATATGGACAGAAACAGGAGAAAGGATTACCAGAACTCTTCCTGCTCTGGGATGCAGGAATGCTTTGTGAGCTACCTTTCAATATTCAGTAAATGAAGATACCTCTGAAGTGCTTCCAGATGATGAAAGTGCTACCAATCAAAAAGCACTGTGCAGATACTATAAAAATACATGTTGAAAAGGATAAGTAGGAAAACATGGGAGGGTTAAAGTGGAAGACAATGCAGTCTGCCCCTGCTCCCAGTAAAATTCATGAAGTGGCTGACACAAGCTTGGGGTCATATCCAGCACTTCCACTGTGCCTCCACTCTTTATGTTGCATCAGAAGACTCCGTTCTTAGTGCAACACCTAGAAGTGAGCTGAAACACTAATCCTTCTGCCAGCTCTGCTGACCCATCCTTTTCAGATTCAAAGGTCTTGGCTCATTTCCAGTTGTTTTTGAAAGCACTAACTTCCTGCTGCATCAGTGGTGAATTCTGCTCAGGAATGGGTAATACTGAATTCTGCCCTTAACCTAGAACACTATTACTATTATCAGCATACTATTAGAACAATTAGTACTATCCTGCCTTCCGGGATAGTATACCAATAAATATAAGAATACTACATCACTTCACACAGTGTTGTACCAAGAGATATCAACACACAGCAAGAATAAGGTTTCTCTACAGAATGAGGAAGAACAAAGTCTAAGAACCAAATAACAGAACTTTTGACAAGTGCAAGAGATATAAAAAGTACCACGAAAGTCAATTCAATATCCAGCAGCTCAACATATCTTATGCATTGATTGTCACTTTATCTCTTTTACTCAACTAAATCAAGTATTTCCAGTTATTAACCATATGTAAGTGCAACCCAGCACTTTAAGGCTGATCATCTTTCAAACCTGGTTCCATTAGCATAAATCATAACTTTCTGGCTTTAAGGTATTAATTAATATTAACAGTAAGTATTGACAGTAAATTTACAGCTTCAAAATGAACATTTCTGCTGCTGTTTCTAATACTTTAAGAATCAGCAGTTCAAACCTCCCAAACCAATAAACTCGAATTTTAAAAGCAAATTAAAACAGATGTTTAAAAAGCAGTTGTCTCTTTTGACATATGATGCAATGCTATAAAATTCTGGTATCATTGAAATATTTTGAACTTTTTTTAAAACTAAATCCATGTTCAACTATGAAAAATATTGAGTTAAACTATTTACATCCTAAAGAAATGTTATGGTAAGTCTGCTTTTTAATGAATGAATTATAGAACCAGGATTTTAAGCTCCTCTGACATTATAGACGTATTTCATGATTCTCGTGAATCTTAGATACATGATCTGGTATCCTTAGGTTTGTACAGAAAGTCAGATAACATTTCCAGTTACCTTCTTGATTCTCAGTAAATGTTATAGCACAAAAGGCACATAAATTGCCGGCTCAAATGTTCTGGAATATGCCCCCAGGGAGCATAATGCTCTGCTAGTTGTGGAACAATGTTTTCTTTGTTCTTGTAACTAGTTACCAGGCATGCTTGTTCTGGAAAACAATTATTTAAATTAAGGGCTTTCCATGGCATCACAATGTATTTAAATCAATTGACCCTACCACAATCTGGTAATTACAGCTTGAATAGTATTTTCATAGTTAAATTCTTTGGAATGGTGAGATTAATCTAATATGGGAATAGTTAACTTCTTTAGACTGCCCTGGCATTCTTCCATTTTACAACTTGCTTGACAAAAGTCCACCCCATCTCTTCAAGCTATAGGTAAAGGAAGCTATAGATTCACAACCGAGGAGCAGGTAGTCCAGATCCAAATGGATCTGGAGAGAGTCTGGAAGTGGGCAGGGGACAACAGGATGCTGTTCAAGATGGGTAAGTGCAAGGTCTTGCACTTGGGGCATAGGAATGGGCTTCATAAGTACAGGGGACAAGTGGCTGGAGATCAGCACTTGGGAAAGGAATCTCAGGGTACTGGTTGGCTGCAGACTAAACATGAGCCAGCAATGTGACACGGTGGTCAAGAGGGCAAACACCATCCTTGGTTGCATAGACAGAAGCATGGCTTCTAGATCAAGAGAGGTATTACTGCCTCTCTATATGACTCTGGTGCACCCACAGCTGGAGTATTGTGTTCAATTCTGGGCAGATCATTACAAGAGGGATATAGCAAGGTTGGAATCAGTGCAGTGAAGGGCCACTAGGATGGTGGTTGGTTTGCAGGGGAAGCCATATGAGGAGGGACTGAGGGAACTGGGTCTTTTCAGCCTTGAAAAGAGGCACCTCAGAGGGGACCTGTTGCAGACATACAGGTATGTGAGGGGGTGCCACATGGAGGTGAGTTGTGACCTTTTTTCCCCCTGTGGAGGAGGACAGGATGTATTCCAATGGAGCAAAGCTCGGGGAACCAAGATTCAATTCGTATACCAGGAAGTACTTCCTGATGGTTAGGACTCCTAGGGTATGGAATGGGGTTCCATGGGAGGTGGCTGAAGCCCCACTGATGAAGGTTTCAAGGGTAAGGTGGACATGCACATGGTCATAAGCAGAGCCAGCTGGAGCCAGGGGTCAGACTAGATGGCCCAGGAGACACCCCTTGTGACTTGCTTGGTTTCTATGTATCTGGATAGAAATCTCCCGTATTGTCACCACAAAGTCATCTTCAGGTGACCTTAAATTTCCCAAAAGGTGAGACAGGCAAGAGAAGGGTCCTGAGAAGGACATCTGCCTTCTACTCCTTCCCTGAAAAAATCAGGGTCTAATTAAGTCCTACAGATTTATTAACATTCGTAAAACTGCTTAAAGGAAGGATATGTGTTCCAATTAGGAATAGAGAGAGTTGAATAACTGCTGGCTTTTATGTCTTCAAAGAAACGAATAAATGCTTGCTACACACACATATAGCTGGATATCCTACGGCTCCTAGTACACTATATGAATAGGATTGTAACCTTTGTTACAAATATCTGTACTTCTGGACTTAGTATTTTAATTTATTGTAGCCAGGACTACCGCCATCCTTTTCTCCCAACTACATATTTTTCCACCCCTTACATGTTAACATCTTCCAACAGGATGATGAATCTTATGAAAGCCATACCACTACTGTGATTGGATTTTTAAAAAACAATCAAGCTGACTGTACTTTTTCCTGGAAGATATACACCCCCTCCTAAATAAAGTAGAGTTGATAACACCAGATGATACAGAAGCACTTCCTACCTACTGCAAATGCATTTAATAATGGCAGCCTTGGCTCAGAGACACAATGCAAACTTTTGTAAATTGGTTTCATGTTCCATTCTGAACCTTGAGATATTCCTAAATTTAGCAAAATATGTAGCAACGAAAACTTCACAAATAGGCCAGCAGTGCAATGCTAAGCAAACCCTTAACTGAAAATAGTCCTGTGCATTCTTTACAACTTCTAGTGTATTATGACCATGCGTATCCCCAACCAATCAGAACTGACAATAGGAAGACTGACAATTTTGCTCTCTTCCCATATAGATTTTGTTGGCTTAGAAGAAATGCTACATTGGACTGGTAATTATCATCATCGCTCCAGGAAGTAGCCAATCTTTCAGATGTAGTTGCTCCTGAATTGAAAGTCCATGTGGTGTTTAGAGTATTGGTCTAGGATCCAACAAAATCCAGGTTCTAGTCCCCGCTCAGCCATGAAGCCCACTGGGTGACTTTGGGCCAGTCATGGACCCTCAGCCTAACTTACCTCACAGGGCTGTTGCTGCTGGGATGAAAATGGAGTAGAGACCTACATAAGCTGCTTTGGGCTTCTCTCAAAATGTGGGATATAGATGCAATATAACACTAATTATTCATACTGCCACAAAGCAGGAAGTCTCAGCTGATCACGGCTTGGGTGGAGGAAGACTATTTTGAGGCAGCTTCCTTTTTCTACTAAGCCTTTGGCACAATGACCCTGCTATCCCTATCTCTTCTTCAACTGAAACTAAACTTTGACTGAACCGAATACATTCCATCCTTATTTTATCTATTGTCTTTATGTCGAATTTTTAACTGTAAGCTACCAAAATGCTCTTCTCATACTTAATTTACCAAGCTCTATTACCAGTGATGGCTCAACAAATAAAATAATGGTCTTTTTAATATTTTCTTCTTCATGCCAGGTTTGCTAGCTTATCTCTTCCTAGACTGGGGGGGGGGGGATATGTGCACATGTGCCAATCTCTGGGCATTGCAACCTTTCAGACACAGAGAAAGCAAATCCAGAATTTCTAATTCTGTGGTTTACTTAAATGTCAGACCAAACAGGAAACAAATCCTTACTCAGCCATGAAAGGTGACCTTGGGATCAGTCTCTAAAAGAACTTCAAAGAATGTCACTAGCTGCTTAATTTCTTCTTGGCCAATTCTTGACCTCATCTTTGATTTGGGACCCAAAGAGCTGAACAAGCTCAGACCAACCTGCCTATAAATTAGGGTGTTTGGCTGAGGTTTCTCCTTTAGCCCAGTCCTTGAATGTCCACATCAGGGAGGAATACTTGGTGCATACTGTTTTCTTTTAGATGTCAAACAAAACTTCCTTTATCTCGGCATTTTAAACTGTTTAAAATTACTTTAAATATTTAAAACTCTTGCTTCTCACTGCAATTTTATCTAGCAGTTCCCCTGCCTATATTGCCATACTATAAGTTTTACTTTCGGTATGCTCAGTCACCTACAACCGGGTTGTTTTTTGAGAAAGAAACAAGGATACGTGATCAAGGGGAAAATGAGAGAAGTACTAACTATCCAGGCTACCGCTCTCCACCTGTGCTGGACTACAACTCCCATAATCCTCCAGCCTATGGCATAATCCTATGATGGTTATGGAGTTGTGGGAACAGTAGTGCAAGACATCTGGAGCGTGCTAGTGTGAGCAAGTCTGGTTGGCGCTGCCCTTTTAGAAAAAGAGCACATGAATGATACTAAGAAAAAGTTAACACAAAGCATGAAGGCATTTCTGGTTGAAACCAGCTTGAAAAATACACCCTCGTCTTCATTTTCAAAAAGACCCTTTAGAGAAAGACACAGCGCGGACATATGGGTCCCAGTCCTGCCTTCCACCCGCGGAGCCCGGACCGCAGCGGAGCGGGAGCCCGGGGCCTAGGAGAGGCCAGGACGGATCCCGCCTCCCGCAGCCGGAGGGGCGGCGCGGCGCGGCACGGAGCTCCCCGCAAGCCCCGAGCTCAGTTCCGGCGCCGCGGAGGAAGCCGGCAGGCGAGCCTCCCGCGGGCACGTGCGAGCCGCGGAGCGTATGGGCGCCCGGCCTCCCCCGCCCGCCGCCTGTCGGTCGCGCCCTTCCCCTCCGTCGCCAACAGCGCCGCGCCAAGGACACGCCGGCCCGGCCGATGGAGCGGCCGGGAGACCGCGCGCCCCCGCGCTCGCCCGCCCCCGCCGAGGCCCCGCCGCGGCCCCGGCCGCCCAAGCGCGCCCCGCCGGCCGTTACCTCCCAGCGCCGCGGCGTCCCTCCGG